GCCGCCGAAGAAGCGGCAAAAGGCGGACGGCGGGGACGCGGGGGACCCGGGGGCGGTCCCAGAGCCGGTCCCGGAGCCGGTCTCGGAGCCAGCCTCGGAGCCCACGCCCAGTCCGCTCAGTCTGTGCAGCGCGGAGAGCCGCGAAGAGGCGCCAGGGCCGGGCGCCCTGGTCGGAAGGCCCACAGAGGAGGTCCCGTCCCCCGCCCCCGGCTTGGTCCTCGGAGGCTTCGGGCGAACCAGGACGCCGAAGGTGAGCGACGGGGCCCGGGGCTGGGCAGGGTGGGCACGGCGGACCCGGCTGCGCGCGAAGCCTGGGTGAATGCTTCCAGGCTGGGGCCTGGCCTTCCTTGCCAGTTTATTGCTGCGTTGCGTCTCTCCCTACTGCGTTCTCCATCCCTAAAACAGTCCGTGGGGTGGGGCTGGGTGCTGTTGTCTTGGCCGCCTAGTCGATTTACTTGGGGCAGCGCTTGGGCTGCCATCTCGCGGAGTTAAGTCTGCTTCTTACGACCTTCTCTTGAGAGTGCTGGGTGGGCTTTGACTCCGAGCAGCGGTTGTTAGGTTGAATCCAGCAGGGGTTTTAGCTTTTCTTGTAAACTGCTTCAGATAGTTCTCTCACATGAATGTCAAGCTCTTTGTTAAGGTTTGTCCAATGCTGAGTAGTGGTTGGTGAACTTTGCCAGGATTGACACAAATGTGCTGTGTTTGATTGCTTAACTAGTCCTTGTTTTTGGGATGACTCTAAGGGCAACTGCCCCCAGTTGCCTAAGGAAAGTTTATCATGTCTGGATTATTATCTTTAGATATCTTTAGAGTTCAGTTAATATAGGGTCCTTAGGAATGACATTAAACTTGCTCTTAGGGTCCCAGTGAAGAAAAGACGTGGCAGGGGCCATGGGGAATCGCTATGCAGGATTGATGTGGCTGGGTTACTGAGGCCCTGATGCAGTGAGCCCGGTGCAGAGGGGTGCAGGGTAGGAAGAGATGCTGCTAGCATGCTTCCTTCCCACAACCTTTTCAGTCTGAGTGCCCAGCTGTGGGTTTCTGGGAACCCTGCTCCCTTTGGCAGGTGGGGCAGTCCTAGGGATGTTCACCAGCCTCTGCTCTCCCCCCGGGGGGTAGGTCCAGCCTTTTCTGCCAGCTTGGCTGGCCAAGCCCAGCTGTGTGGGGAAGAGTGTCACCGAAGGCCTGGTGCCTGTGGCAGACATCCCCGAAGTGCACCCTGAGCTGCAGAAGAAGCTGCGGGCACAGGGCATCTCATTCTACTTTCCAGGTACCCTGGCCCTGGGGGTGCTGGGAGGTGTCCATTCTGAGTTCCAGGCTGCTGGCGTGTTGCTGGCTGACTCGACCCCCTGCTCCTCTCTCCAGTCCAGGCAGCAGTGATCCCTGTGCTCCTGCAGACTGCAGCCAGCGGGTTTCTGGTGGGCAGGGGCGGCTACCGGCCCAGCGACCTCTGTGTTTCTGCCCCAACTGGCAGTGGGAAGACACTTACCTTTGTCCTCCCTGTGGTACAGGTGAGTGTGACCCCCCCCCTGCATGCAGGTTCCACAGGCAGAGTGCTGGTCCCGATGACCTTCCTTCCCTGCAGGCCCTGCTGCCTCGTGCTGTGTGCCAGGTCCGTGCCCTGGTGGTGCTGCCTACCAAGGAGCTGGCCCAGCAGGTAGGTTCCCTGGCTTGGGCTTGGGCCTGGTAGCTGCAGGTGGACAGGGTGGTGTTGACAGCTGCTTCTCTGTAGGTAAGCAAAGTCTTCAATATCTACACGGATGCCACTCCTCTGCGGGTTGCCCTGGTCACTGGACAGAAGTCACTGGCCAAGGAGCAGGAGAGCCTCGTCCAGAAGACGTAAGTCCTGCCAGACTTGGGTTCTTCTTAGAAGGCAGCCTGGCTTGTGCCAGGGTGAGTGGTGGGAAGTCGGTGCTGCCAGCACCTCAGTTGGGGGCAGTCCTGCTAAGCCAGCTCGGCCTTGCAGAGTGGATGGCTTCCGTTGCCTGGCAGACATCGTGGTGGCCACACCAGGTCGCCTGGTGGACCACATCGACCAGACCCCAGGATTCAGCCTCCAGCAGCTTCGCTTCTTGGTAGGTCAGCCACTCTCAGGAGGGCGGGGACCAGGCTGCTCTCAGAAGCCACCAGACCCCCTTCCCGGCTCTGGTTTCCCCAGATCATCGATGAAGCTGACCGCATGCTTGACAGCATGCACCAGTCCTGGCTGCCGCGGGTGGTAGCAGCAGCCTTCCCAAGTACGGGTACCAAGGATCCCCTGGCTCTGCTCCAGCGAAGGCAGACCCCAACTGTGACTGCTGCCAGGTACCCACCTGAGCTCACCGCCCCCCCAGTCCCTGTGACCACTGCGTAATCTCCTCATCCCCCAGGCAGACCCGCTGTGGGGTGAACAAGTGTTCACTTTCTTCTCTCAGCACTTGCCACCCCCAGATGCCCCTGCAGAAGCTGCTTTTCTCGGCTACGCTAACCCAGAACCCTGAGAAACTGCAGCAGCTTGGCCTCTACCAACCTCGGCTCTTCTCTGCTGGCCTGGCACACAGCGGCCCCAGAGACACAGGGGATGAGGACCTGGGAGGGAAGTATGCCTTCCCCACAGGGCTCATGGTGAGGGGGCACCTGTGGCCTGGTGGGGGTGCCCAGGTGCTGGGGGCCCCTGCCAATCCCAACCTCTTCCCCCCAGCATCACTATGTGCCTTGTCGTCTGCGCTTCAAGCCACTGGTCATCTTGCACCTGATCCTGGAGATGAACTTCTCAAGGGTCCTCTGCTTTACCAACTCTCGTGAGAATTCCCACAGGTTAGCGCTCCCATTGGCAGGCTGCAGGTGGGCAGGCAGGCTGCTCTGGTCCTACCCATCTGCTCTGGCTTCTTCCACAGGCTCTTCCTGCTTGTCCAGGCTTTCGGGGGTGTGACAGTGGCTGAATTCTCCTCCCGCTACGGGCCTGGCCAGAGGAAAGCTATCTTGAAGCAGTTTGAGCAGGGGAAGATCCGGCTGTGAGTGGCTGGGCACACCTGGGGTGTGCCTCCTGCCACAATGGAAGCTGGGCAAGGCTGAGGGGGATCATGCTCTTGCAGTTGTCAGCCCATAGCCCCTCTTGTCCTGCAGCCTCATCAGCACAGACGCAGTGGCCCGTGGCATCGACGTGCAAGGTGTGCAACTGGTGATCAACTATGATGCGCCTCAATATCTGCGGACCTACGTGCATCGGTAGGACAGCTGAGCACTAGCAGGGGGGCTCATGTGAGACCCCAGGGCTGGGCAGCATTTAAGGTGCTGTGCTGGTTTTAGGGTTGGACGGACAGCACGTGCTGGGAAGAGTGGACAAGCCTTCACACTGCTCCTAAAAGTGCAGGTCAGGTCGGGGTTGGGGGCGGGGCTCTTGGGCTGCACTGCCAGGGCACCCTGCCCATGTGTGTGCTGCTTTCAGGAGAGGCGGTTTCTCCGGATGCTGGCAGAAGCTGGGGTGCCTGAGCTGGAGCGCCACGAGGTCCCCAGCCACTGCCTACAGCCGCTGGCCCCTCAGTATGAGGTGGCCCTGGCCCAGCTGGAGCAGGCTGTCAAGGTGGGACCCCAGTGTCGACAGAGGCACCCACAGGGGAGTGGGACCCCAGCAGACGTGGGTGGGGTGGGGTAGGGCCAAGAGATAACAGTATGCAGCTGAGCCTCTCCCCACCCGACGCAGGAGGAGCGAAGTCTGAAGGCAGCCTAGATGGGCTCAGAGCACAGGCGGCCAGGACGGAGCTGGCCTGCATCCCAAGGAGCGGCGCCTGTCTTAGCCTGCAGGAAAGCCCCATGTGCCGGACACTGGCTGAGCGAGCAGACTGCAGTCTCTTGGTTCCAGAGGTGGAAGGCTCACCTTCTAGGCCCTGCCAGATGGGTGATGGGAGGGTCAGCCTCTAGCAGGGCTGTGCTTTCTAGTCAGCACCATCCCAGGGCTGGCGGATATCACTGTGGGGTTAGCTGTAGTGGGGTCAACTTGATCTGCTGACCTCCCTGGTGACGGTGTCCATGTTCTGCATTTGAAGGGCGGCCCCCGGCTGACCCACATGCTCCTTGTCCTTCCTGTGTGCCCTCACGGGCGTGGTGTTACTGAACTGAGGGCCCAGCTGTGGGATCCCGTCACCCTAGGGTGTCTTCATCATGGTGGGCGACATGGGCTCAGGGCCTCCACTGCTGATGTTACGCAGGTGCCTTCAGAACTCATGTGAGAACATTAAATAAAATACACTCAGAAACAGGCAGGAACCCAACACTTGCTCTCTGCCTGGAGGATGTCGCCTGCCCTGTTGAAGGAACAGAAACACTGCGGCATGGCCTGAGCAGATGTGGCTGGTTGTCCATGGGGTCTTCCTGTGGGTCCAGGGGCTGCTGGCCTTGTGGCCCCTAGAGCCTGTGGAGCTGGGGTGCCCTTACTGCCCTCATGCCTAAGTGCTTCTCTCTCAGGTGGGCCAGGGGCTCAGCATCACCGTGCTCCTGCCCTCTCCCCTGCCTGGGTCGCTGCTGCCTGTGGGGATGGTCACTGCTACCACTCTGCCACCCAGGATGTGCCCAGGCCTGCTGTTGGCAGTGAGGCCTGTGCTGTGGGCAGGCATGTGGTGGGCCTCTGGGGTATGTGTCAGCTGTATATTGGTGGGTTGGGTGCACCCTGCAACTGGTGATACCCTGCTGGCAACTCCTCCCCTATGGGACCGTCCCTGGGTCCCAGAGTGGGACTCTTAGGCCCTAGCTGCAAACCAGCCACTGCCACTGAGTTACATGGGAGGGGATGAATTGCAGGCTGCAGAGGTCAGGCCCTATGCTGGGATGGGAGTGCAGGGCAAGCAGTCCCTGGCTGTCCTCCAAGTCAGACATGGCTGCAGTGGGTATCTGGCGCAGCCGGTTGTGAGTGGACGGGGGTGGTGGGTGGGGTGGGGAAGCCAGCGTTGGCACCCTGTGTGGGGTGGGCACCACGTGGCTGGCGTGGGCCAGGAGCTGCTAGGACAAGGATGCTGCTCCAGCTGGAAAGCTGATTACAGATGTGAGCTGTCCCTGCATGTCTGCACTCCCCCCTCCCCCAGGCACACTGGTGTCCAAGGTCAGGAGATGGTGGGTTCAATGACAACAGCCAAGTCGTTGTTGACAATGACTGACCGTGGTGATAGCCACCCAGGGCACAGGACCCCAAGCTTGCCAGGGAATCCCGAGTTAGGTGGGCAGGGAATACCAGGGCAGGGCTGTGGCTCTGGGGACCACATGGCACAGCTGGGAGAACCAGGTCAGGCATTGTCTTGACCCCCCACTCATGCGCCTGTCACCTACAAAGCAGAACATGCTTGTTGGAAAGACCAGTCCTGCATGAGACACACTATCATGGGACCTAGGACCTGAAAATAAACAGCAAAAACAAATGCCAGGGTGAGCATTTGAGGGCGTGCACTTGTGGGCCGGTTCCATGTTAAGTACAGCTGTGGGTGGGGTGCACGAGACACACTGACCAGCAGGCAGGCAGCCTGCTTGAAGCTGTCCAGGAGAGACCAAGTGAGTTTGAAGACAGGCTGGGGGCAGGGGGTGGCACTGCATGATAGGTGACGAGTGCTCCAGTGCAGTTCACTTTGGAAACAGTATGGGCTATGACCCTGGAGACATGGGTGAGCCAAGCAGGCGAGCCAGTCTCCTCAGGATGGTGTTGCTAGAGGCTCACAGCATGTGCAGGTGGGCTGCGATGTGCCACACCAGGGGTGGCGTGACCGAATAAGCAGGCTGCTGTGGGCAGAGACCAGTAGCAGCTTTGGTTATATCTCCACCGCAGGCTCCAGAGCTGTGAGCCAAATCCCCCCCAGTGGTGCCTCTGCCCCATTCATCACAATATGCCGCCCCAACTCTGCTGCTTCACTCGTGGCCACATTGCAAGCTGAGGCAACAGGCTCCATGGAGCACCCCCTGGGTTTGGAATGTCAGTGGGCCAATGCCTCCCACCATTCAGTTTTGACTTTTTGAAGCAAAGCAGCTCACATATGTAGACATTCTAACTTCTGCCACTAGCAGTGAACGTGAGGGGCACAGGCCCATTGAATAGGAATGTGGCAGGAACACAGTGCAGCTGCAAGGTAAGGCCCGGGATGTTTTTGGGACCACCGGGGGCATGGGGGGACTTGTGTACCACCCTGTGGGCTGGTGCTTGAGGGATGGTCTTTGCAGAGAGAACAGAGCAAAGCAGCTGAAGGACAGCAAAGCCACTGGGGAGTGGGGCAGCATGCTGGCAGTGCAGCTCAAGAAGATGGCAGTGTTTGCACTGCAGACAAGAATGGCTCTGTGGGTGCAGGTCACTCTCAGGGCCTCAAGAAGTCATGCTCACAGCAGACAAGCCAGCCAGAAGGGCAACTATGGGTGAGCCGTGCTATTGCTGGGCCCCCAGTGCCCCCTGGTGGCTGCTGTGCACACCTGGCAGGCTGGTCCCCTGCACACCCCGGAGCAGGCTTGTGCTGGCCACAGCACTGCCCCCAGTGCATGGGGGTGGAGGATGTGGTGGAGGGAGGTGCAGAGGGCTCAGGGTGGGAGAGGGTAGCATAGGGAGCAGCTGCTGTCCTAAGCCTCTGGCACAGCCCTGCAGGCGCTGCACCCAAGTGGTCAGCCCCATGGGGCTGCAGACGCATCCTAGGTGTGAGCAGATGGCCTGAGGCAAAGGGCCAGCAGTACCCCCTGACCCAAGGGCATGGGCCCCCCGCATGTGTGGATACAGCCTGTGCTGGATACACAGAAGCACTGAGTAACATGTCATGAGTGGGAAGCAGGTGCGGGGTAGAGCATGGAGCCCACCCTGCAGGTCCTCTGGCTCCACTCCATTCGTGGTGAAGACTAAGCAACCACTTCTCTGGGCAGGATCATCTACTCCATGGTGTCTTTGTTACAGAAGGCCAGCATCTTACAACTAGGAAGTTTTTTCTTAGAAAAGAGAGAGTAGACGAGAAGTTGAGGCGTAGCCAGGCCTGCAGGCCACCTTCCCGGGGAGCCTCATTACCCCATGCCCAAGCCTGGGCTCCGCAGAGGTAAGGGGTGACTTATGCTAAGAGCCCAGCTCACTGGCTGGCTCCAGGAGAGGTCTTGGCCATTTGTGTTCTTTCTTCACACAAATGAAAAACCAACACTTCAACTTTAGAGCTCTTTTCCATAAAAGACAAGTATGTCTATAAAAAGGCCATTTATTATACCTTTTGTCTGATAGGACATCGGCACGCTTTAAAACCTTACTGTTCAAGTACAAACAGTTGTTTACAAAGTATTTACAATCTCAGCCTCGTTCCTATAGCATTCACACAGCGAGCTGACCACGGGAATGCAGGTGTTCGGGGCGAGGAGCCTTCGCAGGAGTGTCCTTGGTGCCACCCTGGCCCAGGGCGCAGAAAGCAGGCCCGACACGCCCTTAACTCTTCAACTGGCAAAGCTTAACCTCTGAAACACAAGACTGCACAAACAAGCGGGCAGGAAGACCCCCCCCCCCCCCCCCCAACTAGACAGCCCAGAGCATGCGCTCTGCTCTGCCCTGCTGTGGGGATGTGAGGCAAATACACGCTCCTTTGAACGCTCTCAAGAGGTGTCTCCCCGGAACTGGAACACTCAGCTCTCCAACACCCTTCCTGGGAGACCACCTCTGTGACAGACAAGGGAACAAATAAACTGAGTGAGAAGAGGCTCTGTGGGCAGAGATTGGGCTCCCTGCAGGCCTGGGTAGCGGGGCGTCCTTGAGGATGCAGGTCGGGTGCCGGCCTGCGTGGCTGTGGATGTGCGCCACTGCCGCCTCTTCCCCACATTTTGCTGACAACGCCATTTTTACTTTTTTCAGGTTTCTCTGAGAACTCAGAAATAAGTCTCTGGATTGCGTCACGGGACATCACTACCTGGACACATGGTTGAGGAAAGAACAGGGTGGGTGCCTGTCACAGAGGTCAAGGGAGTGGTGGGCAGAGGTGTGTACAACCCAGAGCAGGTGGGCTTGGTGCCAGCCTCCCACATCTCAGGCAAGCACAGACAGTGGAGTGGCCCTTCTGGCCTGTAGGATGCTTTAGGGGAAGCAGATGTCACCAGCCAGAAAGAGGTCACCAGAGGGTCTGTCTTGACACTGGACACAGCAGTCACTAGGCCTGCCCTGCCCAGCCCACAGGCCCCTGGGACAGCAGAAAGCCCATGAGGCCTCTAGCAGTGGTGCTGACCTTTACCCCTAGACCCTGGAAGGTTGGAGACCTTGGCTGTTTCTCTGGGTGGTTTATGCAGGTATATGAGCGCCCTGGTGTGGGCAAGGGTGATGCCAAGGAAGGGACGCACCACCCAGTGCACAGGACTCACGGCTCAAACCTGGTAGGGCCCAGTGCCTTAGGCCCCTCCTTTCATACGGCCAGGAACTCTGGGACACCGACAGACCCCCTGAAGGCTCTCTGCACCCCACACTACTGCTCTAAGGGGAGGTGAGAGGTGAAGTGACCAGGAGAGACAGCCACTGTCATGCCTCCCGTCCGCCACTGCACAGAAGGGGCACTAGCCAGCAAGGAGGCTGCCCCATGCTGTGGGTGTATTTTAATGAGTGCACAGCACAGTGGTCAATGGCCGCCTAGCACGTCCCATGACACTGGCCCACAGTCTGGAGGACAGTGTCTGTCCAGTCTGCCTGGACAATGGCATGGGCAGGTGGCCTCAGATGCCCACTGCCGGCTAGGGGCATGGAGGCTTGGTGGGGGTCTTTAGCCTGACGGCTGGCACGCGCATCTGCAGTTTGGGCTGCTGGCCAGGGCTGTCGGAGCTGGCAGGAGCCTGTGTGGGGCCGGGCACTCCTGGTGCTTGCAGCTGGGCTGCTGTGGTCACCACCTGTGGCTGCATGAGCTTCTGCTGGACCACCTGCGCTGTGGCTGTCACCGCGGGGATCATCTGGACCTGCTGCCCAGCTGAGGTGGCCTGGGTGAGGGTCACCGTCTGTGGGGAGGCCTGAAGTGACGGAAACAAACATTACTCTTCAAAAAATCACACACGTCACCCAGAAATGCATGTCATGACATGCTTGGGGTGGGGGTGGGGGGCTAAAAACCACCCTGCTCAAACACTTTAATGAAACTGGAAACTACCTCTGGTGCCTAAGCAACCAGCAGTTAGCACTGGCCTCCTAACATCTAGGGCAGAGGGGCCCTGGGAGCAGTCATGACTCTGCCAGCACATCTGCACCCCTTGGGCTTCCCTCTTCAGTCTTTTCCTGCTAGTCTGACATTAAGTTATTCCCTCAAAAGAAATTCCCTTGTTTATTACAGAAATTGCTGGGCTCTGGCTTACCTGCTGGGGTGCAGAGCCGACCTGCTGGACACTGGCCACGGATGCCTGCTGCTGGACCACCTGAGGGAGCTTTGCCACCTGGCGTGACAGAGAGTTGGGCAGAACTCACAAGAGTGTGAAGAGGGCACCCTCCCACACTCCCTCCATGTGGGGTGCATAGGCAGCAGCCACATGACAAGACAGCTTCCGGAGCTGCTCTCCTGGATGTGGAGGGACCCCTGTCTCCTGCCCACAAATGACCAAGTCCTCTGAATTTACTACCACCTGTAACCAAAACTGCATTTTTTTTTAAGATTTATTTATTTATTCATACAGAACTGGGGTACAGGCCAGAGATGTGGAGGGTGATAGGATTCACCAGAGACAGAGCGGGGAGCAGAACAGGCAGATCGATGAAGTACACTGCTGAGGGGAGCAGCAGGAGGGCCAGGAAAGGTCTGCTGCGCCATGTGGTCACCTCCAGGGCAGGCTGGGATCAAACTCATGTGGAACTAAGTGGCTTTAGCTTCTTAATGCTGTGCTTTAACCTGCTGTGCCACCAGGGAGGGCCAAAAACTGCATTTTTTATTCCATAATTTGGAAAACAAACAAACACAAGGCCTCCCTGGTGGCATAAGGGGTTAAAACACAGCACTATGAAGCTATCGCAACCACTGCAGCATGAGTTTGATCCCAGGCCAGGGAGCTGACCCACATGGCATGGCAGACCTCTCCTGTCTTGCCAACTGCTCCCTTCAGCAGTGTATTTCAGTCAATCTCTCTGTTCTGCTCTCCACTCTATGGGGAATCTGCTCACCTCTGGCCTGTACCCCAATTCTTTTATGCATAAATAAGTAAATCTTAACAACAACAAACATAACAAAAAAGACACAATCAAAACTGCTTTGAGGTGGTGTGAGCCCGAGGTTACAGGGAAGCATGTCCCACGGTTCTCAGAACAATGTCCCTTCCACCGGGGTTCTGCCCCCAGAGTCAGTCCAAGAAAACCCCCAAGCAGTGATTCTGACTTCAGTCCTATCTGGAGGTGCGCTGATCTTTACGGAGGTCACTGAATCATTTTCTTTGACTTCCCTTCGACCATGTTTGAGACCTTGCTCTTGGGCCTCCTTTGCTGCGTGGGGTCTCCCTGGCTCTCTGCACCCACGCTGGGAGACAGGGCCAGGCGAGCTCACAGCGGCGATGCCCGTGCCAAAGCCCTGCTCACCTGGATCTGGGTCTGCACCTGCTGTGTCCCAGCCAGCTTCTGGGCCTGGGAGATGGGCGTGGTGAGAAACTGGGTCTTCAGGGCTGGCTGGGTTGCATAAGTGACCTTCTGAGGCTGGCCCTGAGCAGCGATTTGCTGTGCTGTAATCTAGGGAGACACGGGGGTCAGGGTCAGTCAGGCCCAGCTCCATGCCCTCTCTGGGGCCCTGACTAGCCAACCCCCTGAGCCCCCCGCCCTCCTCAAAGGCCTGACCTGTCAGCCACCCACCTCTCCTCCCAGGACAGCCTGGCGTGGGCTAGGATTATGCTTTACATCCTTGTATGTGGGTGTGTGAACTAGACCACAGTATATGAAACACCCACCCACAATCTCTCACTGTCAAGAATGTGGCAAACATCCCCAAATATTTAGCACAAGGAGTAAAGACTACATGAATCTCTCTGCAGTGAGTTTACTTTTTAGGCTTTTGCTGGAAACACTGAGGCGCCACAGCAGCCAAGTGCGCAACCTCCTAGGAGACTCTTCATGTTACCAAGCAGCACCACAACTCCTCTCCACAGGCGTCAGTGCAGCCCTTGCCCAAGACCCCCCAGCACAGCCCTGGTCAAGGGCACTGCATCACCATCTGCGTGCCAAGGGTCTTGGGCCAACAGAGGAAACACCAGGCCTTGTTTGTGCAAGTTACACAGCCACCTCCAGGACGGGTCTGAGATGTAGCATGTCCACGTGGGACCTGTCCCACCCCTGGGCACACCCACATCAGGGCATGTACCCTCTGCTGCAACCCCTGCCCCTCTTGGGCACACAACTGGGCAGCTCTGCCTTGACATAGACCTGGGCCCTGGAGCGGCCTGCACCCAGCATGGGCCTTCCATACCCCAACCTGGGTGCAAGCAGGGCCCTACTGTCCTGGCAGCAAGTCAAGTGATGTGGAGATGGGGTGATATGAAAATCCCATCAGGAGCCAATACCTTCTGCTGCACAGCGGCTGGGCTGGGGGCAGCCTGGGGCTGGATGGCTTTCTGCTGCTGTACGGCCTGCTGCTTGAGCTTCAGCAGCTGCTGGACGTGCACGGGCTGGGCCACAACCGTCTGTCCTGTGAACACCAATGAAGGTGCTAAGTCCAGGGTGTTCCAGACCAGGGTTCCCGCCCACACAGAGCCCCAGTGCCACCCTGGGTCACTGAGTGGTCTGGTCCCAGGGGCTGAATTCCTACACAGAAACAAGGGTGAGGCCAGCAGAGCCACCCTTGTGGGGGTTTCTGGTCCACAAAAGACATTCAGACAGGGCGGGGACTTCAGGAGGCCATTGGTGAAGCCTGAGACCGAGTACATGTTTGGGGAGCCCCGGGGTCACCACCACCCACCACGACACACACAAGAGCCAATGGATGGGCGGGTGGCACCTGTGGCTTTCTGTGGCTGCCCGATGGCCACGCTGATCCCAGCGACGTTCATGGGCAGGGTCGTGACGCCCGGTGAGGACACCACAGCTGCAGGCACAGACACGACTGGAGGCTTTGCCAAGGCCACCTGAGCCTGCTGGGGCGCCTGGGCCTGCATCTGCCCTTGAGCCTGCAGCTGCGACGTGGGAACCCGGGTCTAAACAGGAAGACAATAAGAGTCCAGAGGCTCAAGATGGCGCATCTCTGCACCTGCCCAAAGGAGCAGTGCACCCGGGCAACTGCACACATGGCCTGTGGCCAGGACCTGGGGCATGGCTGAGGAGCCTGGAGCCTCCTGTGCTCCCGCCCTTACAGCTCCACTGGCCCAGGGCCCTTGCCTGCATGCCCATGGTGCCCACCACCACCCACCTAGCTATCATGTGGTTCTTCAGTTGTATCACCTTTTTAAAATGTAAAGAAATGGAAACGACCCACTTTTGTATATACAATAGCCCAGACAGTATCATCCAGGACCCTGGAACTGCCCACATGACATGAGAACAGTGACTTGCACTCCAGGTGGGCCCAACTGCAGGGCATGGGAAGGGGCCCGCCCTACACCCACCAGGGCCACTGCATGTCTGCCCGTGGCACAGGCTGCACACCCATCCGTGGACTCGCTTGAGGTGTTTCTTCAGGATGGGATGGCAATGGGGTGGCTGGGTTGGTGGGGTGCACATTTCACATTCTAAAGACACCTCCACTCTGGCTGTCTCCAACCTAATGGGCCTTGGAGGGCCTCTGCTGGTGTGAACATGGGGCAGCCAGACTGGTGGCGTGGGCCAACCTGCTCCTGTCCCTCTTGGGATGTAGAGGGCTAAGCACACGCAGTGACCTGGGTCCCACCTGGGACAGCTGCAAGGGCCAGTGAAGGATGGGGAATCCAGGTACCTCAGTCTCCACACCTGTGACGCGAAGTGAACACAGAACAGCAGCCAGGCCCAGGGGAGCTGAAGGTGGGCCTGGCCTCCCATTGGCCCACCGAGGGCTGCCCTGTGCTCCACATGCCGTGTTCAATCCTCCCCAAAGCCGTGGCTGTGGGGAAGTGTGGTGTCTCCACCCTGTGGGCCCGGGATGATGCCAGGCAAGACCCTGGACGAGCAGCCCAGTAGAGACGCAACATCAGAAAGCAAAGGGCCAGTAGGACTTACAAGCCGGGCCACCTGCAGGTTGGCCACAGTGGTGCCTGTGAGCAGCGCTCCGGGCCTGGGGGCAGCAACTGTGGTGAGCTGGGGGCTCTGCTGCTGGGAGGGTGGTGGTGGTGGCACCTGCACTTGAGCTGTTGGCGGCGGGGGGCCCGGAGGGGCTTGTGGTGGGGGCGCCTGCTGGGGCAGCTGTAGTTTCTGCTTCTGCATTTTGATCAGGTGCTCCTAAAACCCAAATAAAGTAGTTTCTCATCACACTGACCATATTCCGTGTCCGCACGCTGCTGCTCATGTCACAACAAAGCGAAGTGTTGCCCATGTACACCCACCCTCAGGGCTTTCTGGCACCTGTCACCGGCTCTCACTGAGCAAGAGCACACTGCCCCAGAAACCAAGAGCCCGAGCCTAGGCAAGGAGCCACCCAACGCGACACTCCTGGGTGCTGTCACTGGCAAATCCGTCAAGTCAAACCTAGTCTTAAGAATCCTGGTCCTCGAAAACCACATCGGCTCAATGTTTTATTTCAATGTCCCCAGATGAAGATTTAACTAACCAAATAAACCTCACTTCTTTGTAAGTCAACATGTATCAGGCCTTCAGGGAAGAGCCAAGTATTTCCAGAGGGTATGGGCACTGGCGGGCATCCCAGGCACATGGGACAAAACCAAAACTACAAACTCCGCTCCCTCCGCTCCCAGCTTTAAGTGATTCTCCAGAGCTCGACTCAACACCTTTCTTCTCTGGACCTATTTTGCAATTGTTTCTCCTATCAGAGTAGAAACTCTGGCCAAGTAATGACCACAAAGCCACAGCCTAAGACCATAAACAGAAGGAATTTTTGTTTAAAACAGACAACGAGGTAGTTGTTGTATGTCACAGAAAACACACCCTGAGCTGCTCGGGCCTGGCTGAGGGGGCCACCCGGGCTGGCCAGGGAAGGGTTTGGTGGAGGGCATTGCACAGGGGAGGAGGCCAGGGCAGCCAGGGAGGTAAGAGGCGGCAAGACGGGGTGGGGCAGGCTCAGGCTCCTGACACCGGTCCCACTGGGCCCGGGGCTCTGGTGAGCAGGCACGTAGCCCTTTCTGCAGGGCGGTCTGTTCTGGATCTGCACTGCCCAGCGAGGGGTGCAGCTGGCCTGCCAAGGTGCTGAGCCCTGCATCTGGCGCCCTTTCACCTGGCTTTGGTCTACAAGAGCTCCGATCAGTGGCCATCAGCCAGGCTGCAGAGCTCTGACCCACCGCCTCCCAAAGGAAAGGAGGTGCCACTCTGGGGCTACAAGATGAGAATACCAGTAACCACCACAGCTGCCAGCAGGGCCAGGGTCTTCTGTGGCGTGCTTCCAGCACAGGAAGGGGTGTGGGCCATATTGACCCAGCCCTGAAGCTGACCAAGGTGCAGGCAATGGCTGTGCACATTTATTTATGCATAAATAAAATCTTTTTTAAAAGATCATAAAATATTAAACAGTAATATTTAATGCAACATTCACTGTATGTCTTTGGGGCCACTTTTTACGCCAGCACTGACAATGTTTCCCTCTATGGTAGGAACTTGACATTTCATTTTAAAAGGAAAACGTCTATACACACATAACTGCACAGTTGGCCAATGGGCTTGCCCCAGACACAGGTGCCCAAGAGCTGAGAGTATGCCAAAGCTCAGGCCTAGGGCCAGTCTGGACCTGCAGTGCTGAGAAGCATGAGGACTTGGGGAGACCATCCAGAAATGGGGCTATGGGACCACGGACAGACTTGTGTAGAGCTGCCTGGGATGTCAGCATGCCAGCACCCATGCCCCTCGAGGGCTCTGGCAGTGCATCCCTGCATTGGTGCCTGGTGTCACCCAGACAGGAAGGTGGGGTGCTGGCAGGTGCTCACCGGTGTCAGCTTGCCCACGGCCTTGATCTGCGCAGGGGCCTGGGCCTGGGCCTGCATCTGCGGGACCTGCACCTGAGGGCTCTGCTGCTGCTGCTGCTGCTGCTGCTGCTGCTGCTGCTGCTGTTGCTGCTGCTGCTGTCGGAGCAGCTGGAAGTGTGCCGGGGTGATGGTCTTCCCAGGGAGCTGGACCCCTGGGGCTGCAAGGAGAGAACCTGTCAGCCCACTGCCCACACAGGCCCCCACCTGCCCACAGCCATCTGAGGCTGGCGTCCTGACTGGTGTCAGTGCTGCCCTTACCTTGGGACACCTGAGTTACCAGAGACCGGGCTGGGGTCTGTACTGGGGTGAGGCTGGTTGTGACCACAGCTGAGGCAGCCACAGAGGTGACGGCACGAACACCTTGGGTGGGTGCTAGGGACACCAGGTCAGATGGGGCCGTGGCTGGGGAGCCCACCGCTCGTGGCTGTTGGTGGACCACCTGGGCAGGAGCGGCACCTCCAGAAGCCTGCATGGGGAACGGAGGAGACGGTCAGGCCCTGCAGCGGGGCCAAGCATTTCTGCAATGTCAGATGAGGGAACAGGAAGCCCAAAAGCGAGGCACCTGGCCAGGTTCTGGCTGAGCAAACTTGGGAGTACGAGGGCTAGTCTGCGTGTTCTGAACCCCATGCCTGAGCACCAGTGCCATCGGGGCGCCCTGAGGAGAGGACACCTCTCCTCAGGTACTGCCACCCCAGGCACCACTCTGTTTCTAGCACAGATTCTTGACTTCTCTAGATACTGTGCCTACCCCAGGAATATCCTGACTCCTCACCATGCCCTCCAATTTTGCAGGGCAGCGCAAGGCCAGCACCCCTTCCCATCTGCTGGGGGAAGATCATTTCTCGTATTCTACAAGTTAATGCTGTCACTCAGACAGCCAGGTGCAAGCCAAGCCTCTTCTCCTGGGTATGTTCTTGGAAATTCCTTTCAGATTAGTTATTTCTCCTCCCAAAGTCTGGGAGGGAAACACTTTGACCTTATTCTTTCAGTGGCTCATGTAAAAATTTTACGGGACATTTCATGCTCTTCCCCAACCAAGATAAGGGAGATCAGGTTGCACTCTGCCTGACCCAGGGTTCAAATCGGTCTCTTAAGTCCCACAGGCCACTGGGGCTTCTAGTCAGTTCTCACACTGCTGGGCTGTGTACCCCTCATCTCTGTTGCCCTTGCACCTGTGTCTGGCCCCTCCTTGGGAGGGGAACAACCTAGCTGGTATCTGCTGGGAACCATCAGTTTTCCTTTGAAAATGGCTCATTAACCCTGTTCAAGACACAGAGCTGGCAGCTGCTCCCCTCCCCTGATGAAGACATAGCTACTGGTCCCTGAAAGTCACCAAGTCACCATGCCTTTCTGGGGCTGTGGCAAGTCCCCCTCCCCCCTTGCCTGGTGTGGCGGCTGGGCCTGTCTGTGGCTCTGTGTGCCTAGCAGTCCTGCCCACCATCTGGAGTGCCATGTACTCCAAGCGCCCCTTCTCTCTTCCCTTCTGGGGAAGTTGTCCAGGGCCACCTGTGCTGCTTTGGGGTAACAACTTCTGGTTTATCTTCCAGTTTCACACATTCCCTTGTGGACGGTGTATAAATTAAGCACACGTGCCAGGCAGCTTTAAGTTTTGGCAACAACTTTTTATATTTTTCAGTCTGCTACAACCACTAATCTAGTTTTCTGCTGTTCACAGACTCTTGGACTCTCTTCAGGTCCTGGCAGAAAGCAAAGTGCCAGCCAACCACAGGACATAGGGGCCTCATCTGGGCAGCTGGGCCTGGCATCACGTCTGCAGACTCGTGCATGGAGCCACCACATGCGGGGAACTGAGCACACATGCTTCCCATCTCTGAGAACCCTGAAGTGGACTCGGGGGCTGGATGGCGAGTGCATGTTTAGTTTGTAGGGCTAAGGTGCAGCATCCTCCAAAGAGGTGCACTGGGCCGGCCGCCACTGTTCTCTGAAAGCCATTCTCGTGGCCAAGGCATAAACTCAGCTCCCCACGACCAGCAATGAGAGGCTCTTCACTGTCAGCAGCCAGGCACCCCCTCAGACCTGTCAAGGCTCTCCTTCCCTGTCACCTGCAGAGCCCCCACTCTCTGCCTGAACGTGGCTCTCACAAGCCCTTCTGCTCTTCATTCTTCAGTGTTGTCCAAAAAGGGAATGTTCCTGACATTTTGATTTTCTTCACTTCCCTTTCATCTCTTCACGGGCTTCTGGTACTGAAGCAGCCCTTCCTGCTCTAGGCAGCACAATGCTGCCCCCCTCCTGTTGAGTGCTTCATACAGTTTGAACTAGACTGACACTTTTCTTCTCTGACAAGAGAATTTTCTTGGCAAGGAGCAGCCCCCCCAATGCCCTGTGCTGACCAAGGGTGAGGAGCAGGGCAACTCACGGTTAGGGCCCCAGGGGCCGCAGGTGAAGCCAGGCGTTTGTTAATAGACTGGAAGGTAGCTGCAGGCACCCCAGCAATGGTGTTCACAATTACGTTCCCACTCACGGTGCCTGCAGGGAGAGGCCCATGAGGAGAGGTCAGCAAGTTGTCTGCTCACACTGCCAGGTGGGGGTAGGGAGCTCTCTGAGGCCTTACCTGCTGGCATGCTTGAACCTGGGACGGATGTCTTAATGGTGCCTGCCTGCTGAAGAAAGAAGCCCTGTTAACTGCAAGCCACACTGTCCTGGGGCAACATTTGCAGGCTTCCCAGTTCTCCGTTGAGCCCATGCTCTTGACACTGAGGGTACTGGCTACCCAGGCCACTCCAACACCACCCTGCTCTACTCGTTCCATCCAGGTTGTCTCTAAATGCCGGGGTCTGCACCATCCCCTACCACGGGAAGAGCCTCATGGGGAAAAGAGCCTCCTGAGCCCACACTTCAGTGAGGTCACTTTCTAGCAAATGAAGAACAAAGTCACCCACAAGGGTACACATGGAATCCCGGTGGCAGTGCTATCTGCCCAGCTGGTGTCCTGGGGTCTGGGAGATGTGGGCATTGCCATGAGGCAAGAGGCCATGATCGGTGTACACCAGTGTGTTCCTTGGGGGATGGGGCGGGCAGGCCTGAGTAGGCTGAGGCTCTGAGAAACGGTAAGTAGGCCTATGGGGCTGCCAGTCACAGGTGCCACCCCACTCTGAGGTCCATATGTCTAAGAGCCCCAGCCCTACCCCGTCACCACCGGATGAGCTCGGCCCCAGCCACCTGGAGTGTGGCAGTGGGTATGGGTAAAAAGGATCCATCAGGCAACCTCTGCCTCTTAGAGACGGCCTTAGCCTACCCATGCCTGTCCCAATTGTGAGTGGGTGCCCTCCCTACTCCCTCTCCCCCTCCCTCCCATGGTGCCTGCCTGCCACAGGGGAAGTCTCACCAGCACAGCAGCACTGCCCACCGTGGTGATGGCGGGTGGCACCTTGGGTGGGACAGGGGCAGGTGATGGCTGGGCCTGGGCCTGGGCCTGGACAGCTGGTGGCCCTGCTGGGGGTTGGCTGCCTGTTGCTTGGGGCTGAGGCAGAGGTGGTGGTGGGGGCTGCGGTGGCGGGGGCTGCGGCTGTGGTGGGGGTGGCGGTGGGGGCTGTGCCACAGATGGTTGCTGAGCCTTCTGCTGGTCAGCCAGTGCCTGCAGGCAGGGAAGGAAACGGTGGTCCAGGACAGGCCTCACAGTGTCCACCCACCCCTGGGCACCTCCCTGGGGCAGAGACAGCGCAGGGCTCCAACCTTCTTCTCCTTGGCGATGCGCTCTGCACGGAGAGATGCCACCTGGATGGGGGGAAGTGGCTTGTCGTAGTTGATCCCACTGAAAGACAAGAGCAGGACTGAGAAGAGGCACCTGTAGCACCACCCAGCCTCAATCACTTCTCCTCACCTCGCTCCAGGCTCTCCTGCCTAGCAGCTGCTGTGTCCCTGAGAACAGATCCAACCCGTGACACACATACCCCACCCTGCCAGGCTACGAATCCTGCCATCACCACCAGGCCCGCATTCCCTCCTCCTCCACTCCACTTAGGGCCCCAGCTCTCATATCCAATTGCCCCCATGCCGACAACCTGGCCTGTCCCTACACACCTGTGCCTAGTACTGCAGGGGAAGCCCACCTGTGCAGTGAGGCAGCTCTGGCTCCATCTGCCCTCCCTTATACCTGGCTATGGCCCCTCTGCTGCTAGTCTAGGATGTCCTGTCATCCCAGCTATCCAGTGCCATCCTGACCACCAGTGCAGAAAAGCATCTCTTTCTTACAGAAGGCACTGAGAAACCTGCAAACTTGTGCGGTCTTCTCCCCCCGCAGCTGCTCCCGCATCTGGTCTCTGCTAGTAACCCTGAGATGCCCAAACACTGCTCAATGCTGGGCAGAAGAGAGAGGGGTGTGGCCTCCCTGCAGTCTGGGCCCCACCTCCTTCCCTGCTGACAGGCTGCTGGCAACCCTCCCAGCTCCACACTCTTGGTACCCACAACCAGGGTCCCCCAAGTAGTAGTGTGACTAACATGCAGCGGCCCTAGTTACCCCATACAGCCTGGCCACCAGCTCTACCAATGGGCCTGAATCACCTCTCTGCCAGAATCAAGCCACAGCCTGGCTTGCTCTGACCACACCCTTCATGGGCCTTCTTCCTGAGCCCTTAGCAACCTCCATGTTCAGTACGGACCCCCGAAGGCACCAACCAACGACTTAGAGTGCGCCCCTTACAAGATGAAGTAGGCCCAGGCCCACAAAGGTGGGTTACCCAGTGTAGGCACCAACTGGCCAGACTCAAGCCCTGGATCAACAGGGATCATGGTCCCACTACCCAGGACAGACCACACAGTGCGTCTGGAAGAGTGCCAAGAGACAGCAGCATGGGGTCGGGAGACAACAGTGACCAGAGAGGCCAGGATGTCCCAAGGGACAACTGAGCACAATGTGGGCAGAGCCCTGAGAAGCAAGGAGAGACGCTGGTGCCCATGATTCCCACTGGGTGAAGACCAGGCCTGTCCTATAGGTGACTACCCTCATTTGCCCACCCTGGTGCTGCACCGTGGGCAGCGGGATGCAGGGACCTCCTGCTGGGGCCCAACCCCCCCCCACCCCCGATGGTTGCTGCCCACACCACTGTCTCTACTCCCCACCACTGAGCACCAGAGGTTCCCTCTGTTGAATCCCAGCGCAGCACACCAAATCCTAAATGGACGAACACAGTAGGAAGGCAGATGGGGGGTGGTGGGGCTGGGAGGTGGGAGGTCCCCCATGCCAGCCTGCCCTCAACTACAGGCAGGCCCCCCCAGCACTCCCAGGGCACCCTGTGCCCTGGGCAGCATTAAGGAGTCCCTGGCCTGCACACAGTCACTCAGTTGGACAGAAAGCAGCTCAGGTAGGGCGGGCCAGGCGGGAAGTACCTCTCAGCCAGCACAGAGGCGTGCTTGGGGTTTTTCTGAAAGGGGTTCATGCCAAGCCTGCAGGACAGAGGGAGAGGACGACACTCAGCAAGGTCCAGCAGGTGGGCCCTGCCACCTCCATCAGGTCCAGGCGGGATGAGAGAGGGGGGCGTACAGAGGCTTGATGGGGGGGCTCCTCTTCCCGGCCGTCATCTTCATAAGGTCAAAGTGGCTGCTATATAGCTGGGTGTGCGTGGCGTTCTCGTCCTGGGCATACATCTGGCTTGTGCGCAGTGGACGGTTGTTCTTACTCTGCAAGGACGTCGGGTCAGTGCCTCACAGTGCAGAGCTGCCTGCGCCCACACCAGTGTTAGCGCCTGCACCCTCACCTTGCCCTCCTCCCGGGGGATAAGCACGCTCTCATAGCGGTTCCGGCACTGCTTGGACGAGCGGTAGATGCGGCTACAGGAGTTGACAACATCACTGACCAAATCCCAGTTGGGTGTGTGAGCCGGCGACACAATGGTGAGGTTCAGGGGCAGCTCCAGCAGCTGCTTCACAGCCTGGGGGGACGAGGCATGGGTGAGGTGGCTGTGCCTTTGCTGTGGTGGCCTAGGAGGGCACATACAGCTGGGGCTGGCCCCTCACCTGCAGCAGCGCCCAGTCCTCACTAATGAGCCACTCGGGGTTGTCGGCGCCAGCCTCGGCCGTGGGCTTGGCAAAAGTGGGCAAGGGCTTGGCAAACTGCGTCTGCTGCTTCAGGAGCATGTTCTTCTTCTGTTCCTTGCCCTCCCTCCGCACCTTTAGCACGCCTGGTGCAGCTCGGTCGAACAGCGACCGGGGCGGCACCACAGCCTCGCCATGGCGCTGCTTCTTCTTTCTCCCTGCAGCTGAGCAGAGAGACATTTGTGTGGAAGTGCGCCAGACGGGGCCCCTCAGCAAGCAGAGGGTGGGGGAGGCGGGGCAGTAGGCTGGCAGGCAGAGCCCTGCACACACCTGAGGGGTCTGTCTTGTGCCGCTTGCGCTCCTTTCTCACATACACAGGGGGCAGCTTCGACTCTGGGATGGGGGTGGTCTCATACGTGAGACACATGACTGAGTCGGTGTAGATGTCATTGTCGTCTTGGGGGGGCGTGGGTGGGGTCCAGAGCTGCCATGAGAAGGAGAGCTGGTGAGCGGCACAGGCCACAGTAGGATGAGCCCTGCACAGAGGGGACAATGCTCACCGGCATGGCTTCCGTCTGCCCATCAGCTCCTTCGTAGATGTATTCCTGCAGGAGAGAGGCAGGATTCTGAGCTAGCTCAGCCTAACACGCCTGCTGGGCGCGTCCTCACGCTCCCTTGGTCCTCCAGCAGAGACGGCGCCGCCACCACAGGTGGAGAGTGTCTCAGCCCAGCAGCAGCCACACTGGGGACACGATGGGTGGCTGGCCTCCCTGGCAGCCGCCCGGGGACAGCCCTCCTGACCTGGGGCTGCAGGAACGTACCGCCCGGTAAGCGTCCTCCCTTGTGTAGGTGAGCAGCTCCTCTTGCTCGCGTTCCCGCCGTGCCTTGGCCGCCTCCTCCCGCAGGGCCCTGGCGTTCTGGCATTCCCATGCACGCACTGCACTCACCAAGGTGTCCTGGAGGAGGGCATGGGTTGAGACTGGCAGTGCCTGGGCAGCAGGAGCAGTAACAGCTCACCCAGGGGAGGAGACCAAGGAGAGGCTTGGCAACGCTACCAGCCCCTGGGCTCTACCTCCTGACCCAGCAGACAGCCCCCCACCAGTCACAGGCAGCAAGCCGTCCCTGCACAAGGGCCTCTGAGATGTCTCTCCTGAGATCCCATACTGCTGAGTCTGGGTTTTATTCCTTTAATTCTGGGCATATCCCATTGACCTAGAAGCAAATGAAGTCCCAAAGTTGAGACTGCCCAGAGCAGGTACTTACCTCCCGACTCCTCTCCTCATCGTCAGCGGCAGTGTGAAACAACTCCAGGTAGTTCAAAGCGTATTTTTCAATAGGTGTAAGCTGTTCCAAAAGAATATTTTTTGAGTAGGGTTAATAGGAGTATTAGGTTAAGTCCTTTATACCCAGCCTCAAATCAAAAAGATAAAATTGTTCCCAATCAAAGAAAATAAGTATCTCATAAGAAACAAATATCTGAAATAAAAAATACACAAAACCTCTGGCCTGTACCCCAGTTCTGTATGCATAAATAAATAAATCCTAAAACAAAACAAAACACACACACAAAAATGGATCTCTCCCTGGTGGTGCAATGGGTTAAAGCTCTCTGCAGCCACTGCAGCATGAGTTCGATCCCCGGCCAGGGAGGTGACCCACGTGGCGTGGTAGGCCTCTCCTGACCCACCCGCTGCCCCCTCAGCAGTGTATTTCAGTCAATCTGCCTATTCTGCTTTCTGCTCTATTTTTGGTGAATCCTCACTCTCCACACCTCTGGCCTGTACCCCAGTTCTTGTATTCATTAAAAAAAAACAAAAAACTGGCCCTCCCTGGTGGCGCAGTGGGTTAAAGCACAGCACTGAGAAGCTGAAGCCACTTCCGCATGAGTTCGATCCCCGCCTGCCCCAGAGGTGACCACATGGTGCGGCAGACCTCTCCTGCCCGCTGCTCCCCTCAGCAGTGTACTTCATTGATCTGCCTGTTCTGCTCCCCACTCTGTCTGGTGAATCCTCTCACCCTCCGTCTCTGGCCTGTACCCCAGTTCTGTATGAATAAATAAATAAATCTTTAAAAAAAAAAAACAAAAAACAAACCCACAAAAATGTGCTGAAAAGAAAATCCCAAACCTGCTCCATGAAGTCTGCCAATTCTTCTGAGGGCGAGGGCTCAGGACACCCCAGTGGGCTGTCGGGGCCACCTGGCAATGCTTCCTCAAAGGGTCTGTCTGTACCGTCCTCCAGATACTCAATGCTCTTGAGAGCCTGAAAAAATGATGGGCAGCTAATGTCCATTGTTGTCTATGTGGATAGTCTTTGGGCAAGAGCCCTGCTGCAATTACCAGGTACCATGACTGCCTGGTGCTCCTGGACCGGGGGACCAGACACACCTGGGGTCAGGGGGTCATCAGGAAGAGGTGAGCCCCAAGGGCTCAAATCCATAGGCACATGTCACTGGTAAGCAAGGGTCAGAGGTATTCTGACCCCAAGGTTCAAAGCATCACCAAACCCACCATCCGCCAGCATCAGGAGACTCAAGAGCCGGGCAGGCGGCCACCATGAGCCCACAAAAAGCCTGCTCCGGACTGCACCAGCAAACACAAGGCAGATCCACTGTGCCCATCACTGAAGCCAAGACACATGTCTGACAGGCAGAGATACTCTGATGCAGAAAGATAACATGACTTAATTAAAGACTATCCATTCAAAACAGTGTGAACTCTTTTCAGAGCCATTTAGCAAAACTTTCCAATTTGCCAGACTGGACTTGCAGATGGGCAGAAAGATCCAGAAACAAGGAATAAAGAAGAGCCACCTGCAACCTCAGGGACCCAAAGAATCAGCTGCTACCACAGGGCAGACCACAACCAGAGAAAGCGTCTCACACACAGCCAGCAGGGCTGTATGCCCACAGCAGAGAAAAGATTAGCAGCAGCCATTTGGAGAGATGCTTCTGTAGAAAAGCATGAGCAGGAGAAAAAGGCCAACCACCTCACAGAAGTGCCAGGCCACCAAGAACCATGTGGGGCAGAAGGTCCAACATGGAGGGGTACTACACACCCGCAGACCCTGGGCGACACCTTTGCGTCTCACCCTGAAGCCACAGTGTGCTGCCACGTCTGGCGATGCCACAGGGACAAGCCACAGGTAGCTCATCCTGAGACCAGCCCTGCTGTTTGGCCTGCCTGCCGCCTGGGTCCTGCTGCGACTCTGGCACAGCCAGCTGCTTTTCATCTCTATACCCCAGCACAGGAGCTGCAGGTGGCTTGAGCAACGGACACACACAGAGGCAGAAGCCCTGTGAGCCTCCCAGGGGAGGTGAGGCCACGCAAGGGGCTGGCTCTCTGCTACCAATGCCCAATAGCTCACTTGTCAAAACAGAGGCAGAGGTGAGAGATCTCCCACCAAGGGCCCCACAGATGCTGAAGGAGGCCATGTGACTACACTGCAGCCTTCATCTCTCACAGCTGGAAACCCCGTGGAGGAGAAGGAAGGAGTGTTCTCAGTGTACTGTGACATGAGCTGAGGCCTGAGCTGGAGGAAGGCAGTGTGCCCACCCACAGGCTCTTACCTCGATGAACGGCCTAGCGATTTTGGGAGCGATGGTTTCTGTGACAGAAGGTTCCTGAGAAAGGACAACAAACTCCTCGGCCTTCATTGGGAAGCCTGTGTCATCCATGGGTGAGTAAACCTCAAACAGCTCCTGTATCGTCCGCTGGACACACATCATGGCATGATGAGGTGAGTGCCAGGCCCACCTGGGTGAGCCTGAGCCCCAGGGCTGGCAAGTGCTACCAGCCCTGACAAGGCAGGGCCCATTCCATACACCCGGCGCCCCTCAGATGTGCACAGCAGTACCTGTGTCAGGAAGGCCATGGAGTAGTCGTTGCCCTGAGCAGCCACTTCCCGGATCAGATCTTTGGTTCCATTTTTCAACAGCTTCTCTTCAATGGAGTTGCCGCTCACGAGCCTATAAGCACAAGAGGGCTCAGTGGACAGCAGGGAAGCCATCCCTGCCCGGCTCAGCGAATTCTCACAGCCCCCACCTGCTTCACAGGGGCCTATGGGCCCCCACCTGCTGCTCCAAGAGTCGCCTATCATTGAGGCAGCTCATGGTGGGCCTGGGCATCTCAAGCAGGTCCTATCTCTCCCCATGGCTGCAAGTTGGCAAGGCCCCACAGGCTCCCTTGATGCCTGGCACTTGCTTTACTGCCACATCCCTATGACTGCGCCCCACTTGGTGTGAGTCTCCACCTCCCTGTACACACTCTGATGCACTGTCTAAGAAGAACAGGCCTTACTGGTGCCTCAGAGTGGAAGAGTGGCGCTTCCTGTGCCTCAACCTTATCACGAAAAGTGCTGACCATATTGGTAGGTCCGCCCCCGCCCTGTACCTCTGCTCTGAATCAGGAGCTACCTCCTGGTGTGACCATGAAAACTACAAGTGCCTCCTGCCCAACACGGGCTCACTTTGCTTTGCTGGGCCCACTTGCCCCCATCCTCCTGAGGGGACTGTCAGCTTAGGCTAATCCTTTGACTGCAAAGCAGAGTTCACTGAAATCCTGTTGCCTCACCTCCTCGTGCCCAGGAGCGAGGCTCCAGAAAGTGGTCTCAGGCCACGCCCCCACCCACACCCCCACAAGACCTGCTGATCTTCCTGCACTGCTAAGCCCAGCTTGAGGCCTGTGAGTAATACCGCTGAGGAGGAAGCATCCCCCTTCCGAGGTAGCACTGGCTAACGGGCCAGCGATAGGACAGTCACACAGGGTACCTTCAGTGCCACTGAAGGCGACCTACTGCTTGAAGGGAAACATGTATCAGGCTCCTTGCCACACATTTTCTCTCTTTCCTCTCCAGGGGACAGATGGCTTATTTACAGCATGAGTGAAGACAGAGCTCATCTGATGCAGCATCTGTGCAGCGATGGCACACAGCCTCATGAATACAGCAGGTGCTGAGGCCCACAGTCCTGGTTTTGGCCTGGTCCTGCCAGGCTGTGGCTCTCTCCCAAGGGGAAGGGTCATGTGAGGAGGTGGTGTCTCACTGTGAGTGCTCCCCACAGGCTGGGGAGGTAGAGCAGTCCTGCACAGGGCCACAGTTCAGCCAGTCCCACATACGGGGTTAAAGGTGATACATTCGCTGGCAAACATTTCACCAAACAACTAATATTTGAAAATGACTGCAAGCTGGGGCTAGCTCGAGCAGAGACCTCCATGAGCTTCAGGTGGACGGACCTCCCTGGAAGCCCAAGTGCACACTGAGTGGACACCAGGACCAGCAATCCAGCCGGATGAGCGACCTCATTTCAAGCCCTCAACTGCATCCCAGCCAGATATAGGCTACGTGTAAAGGAAGAACCACTATGATGGCAGCAAACAGACCCACTGGAAGGAAGGTCAAACAAGCCAGGAGGAAGACCAGGGCCTCACCGGAACACATGCACGTCCCGGCGCCTCCCGATGCGGTCACACCACTCCTGGGCCTTGGCGTCCATCACCGGGTTCAGGTCGCTGTCGTAGAACACCACCGCATCGGCCTCCACCAGGCTAACACCTGAGGGGCGGCTGTGTGTACAGAGGATGGCACAGAAGATCCGCCTGTCTCTGTTGAAGCTCCTCATCAGCTCCTGAGGGGGACGAGGGCAATCAGGCTCCTGCTGGATCCTCTCACTTCTGATCACTTGGCCAGGCAGCAGCAATGCCCCAAAGATGGCCAGTGGGCTGGTCTTGGTCTCCATGCCCTGCCTTCCACCAGTGCACCCTGATGCACTGATGGAAGTGGGGTGCAGTGGGTGGGGGTAAACACCAAGTGCTACCTGTCAGCCCTGTCTGTAGGCCCCAAAGAGAGACAGGCTCCCTGGGGAGGGATGAGTGCTCTTCCTGTACCCTCAGGCAATGCTGGGGTGCTTTACAGCAAAAGACCCCAGAGTAAGGCTGAGGGGCAGGGGGATACACCGTGAGTGCGACCTTATGGGCAGCTAGACTGGGTGGCTCGCTCCACATTCTCCTGGTGTCACACATGTGCCAAGCAGACCACGATGCTGACCAGCCCTCTGGGCGAGAAGCCGCTGCACCTGTCATGGCCAGTACTGTGCTCCTCATTGGCACACCCAACCTGCCAAAGGGGGTTCTCCACTGCCTTCTGAGTGCACATGCATGTGGGTGCCCACAAGGGATCATGCAACCAGTGCCTGCCAGCTGTCTTCTGCTCAGTGCACAAATGAGCCCATTCCTGTACTGCCGCCTGGATGCAGCAGGACCTCATGCCCCAGGAGGTGGGCGGGGGTGGGCATTGCTGCCTGTGTCTCACCCCTGAGAGATACTGTGGGAAAGCCTGGGCTGGCGACTCCCAGGTGGAGCCCCGTGCTGACCACGCTGAGCCTCACAGCACCACAGCCCCACGGCAGCAGCCTCCAGAGGCACCCACCTGCACCCACACTGCTGCTGTGGGGCTGCTGGCAGTGCCTGGGCATCAGGTGCCTGACCCATGGAGGTAATTCCATCTTGGCAATGTCACCTCCCATATACCAATGTCTCAGGCCGCCCATGGACCTAGATATCCTGCTGGAGGTCAGGTCTCATCATGGGATGTGGGAATCAAGGGTGGAACCAGGATGGACCAGACTGTCAGCTCGCGTGGACTCGAGCAAGCACTTCCCTCATACGAAGGACCATGGCACGTGGCCTGTTTGCTCCAGCTGCCTCAAGGCCCAGTGTCCCCACCCTATGGGCTGCGCTGCCCAACCTGCCGCTGCTGGCTGTTGGCGTTTTCATCGATCCGCACATAGGTGAGGTAGTGGAAGTTCAGGAACACCTCCAGGATATCCAGCATCAGAAGCATCTGGGACAGGATCAGCACACGGCGTCCCTCTGTCCTCAGCTTCTGCAGTAGCACAGCAAGTGCTTCCAGCTTCCCTGTGGGCGACAGCAGGTATCTCCCTCTGCCCACACACGCAAACCCACCCCCTGGGTGGCGCCTCCTGGTACCTGAGTCAAACTGGACCAGCCTGAGCTCCGGAAAGCGCAGGGAACGTGGAGTGGTCAGGTGCTGCAGCTGCTGGGCGTGGGGTGCCACACGCTCCTTGAGGTGGTGCCTGAGCACGCGCAGTCTATGGCTATAGAGGGGGGGTGGCCGAGCCACCCACAGAGATGGGGGCGCAGCCACCACTGGAGGGATCACACATGCCACCCTGGAAGCAGAAAGTCACTGTCACCACTTGGATCCATGGCCTCTCCACCTGTGTGAAACTGGGTAGAGACCAGAGGGAGGAAGCCAGAGCCCTGAGAGTGTAGATGGCTACCATCAGACCACACTGCCCAGCTGAGCCCAGGCCACGAAGCTATCAGACAAAGAGCCATTGCGGGGATAAGGCTCCTGGTGGCTCGGGGACAGCAGTACCCTGGAGCTGCTGTAGCCAGCAGGCCTCCAGGATGGGAACTAGACCTGAGGTAAGGGGCCTGTGGAGAGCAGAGTGGCATGCTGCCTTCGTGCACCAGAGTCTACCGGAAGCTAGCCTCCTTCACTTGCTACCAATTGCATGCAAACTAAGACACCCGTCCATACAGCCTTGACAGACATACTCAAACCACTGGGTGGATGGTGTGACTCCATGATTGTGCTGAACAGCGCCTAGGTGTCAGTCTTTCCCACGAGGCCCACAGAGCTGACAAGCAGGCCTAGGGAACCCTCCAGCATGGTAAGATTGGGGAAGGAGCAGAAAGCCCAGAAACAGACCCACAGATGTGAGTCTGGGACCCAGGTCCAAGGAGCAAAGGGCACAGGGATACAAGCAGCCACTGCACCAGAGAAGCCAAAACATCTGGACATTCATAGTACAGAAGACTCTTCCTGGGCTTTCCTGGTGGCGCACGGTTTAAAGACAGCACTGTCGCGCTAACGCTAGCCATTGTGGCCTGGCTAGGGGGAGCAGCAGACATCTCCTGTCACACCTGCTGCTCCCTCAGCAGTGTATCTTAATAGATCTGCCTGTTCTGTACTCCACTCTGTCTCTGGTGAATTGTCTTAGCTGTCCCCCCACCTCTGGCCTACACTCCAGTTCTTCTATGTATAAATAAAGACATCTTAAAAAAGGTCCTTCACAAACTGGCTCACAGTGGTCACTGGCCTGGAGACAAACATAGGCCCACTACAAGCTAACTGATCTGGATGACCTTGGGCATGACAGTGACTTTGTGGTTATTGCACCAAGAAAAAAAAACTCAAAAACTGTATTTTCAAATTAAAAACTCCCTGGTAAAACAAAATTGTCAAAAAGACAATGGAGACCACAGACTAGGAATAGATGTTTGTAAAGAATATATCTCATGGCAAAGCATTATCATTCCAAAGAACTTTTGAAAAAAAATTTTTTCCCATGCAGACAACTGGGGTACAAGCCAGAGGTGCAGTGCGAGAATTCACCAGAGACAGAGGGGGAATCAGAACAGGCAGATTGACGAAATATACTGCTGAGGGGAGCAGCGGGTGAGACAGAAGTCTGCTGTACCATGTGGTCCACCTCCTTAGCCTGAGGTGGAACTTGTGCTGAAGTGGCGCGGCTAGCTTTGAGTGCTGTGCTTTAACCTGTTGTGCCACCAAGGATTAAAAGTTCTGAGTTTGTAACGGGGGGGGGGGGGAGGGAGGGAAATGCATGGGACTAGGGTGGTGGCACAGGGGTGATCTGGTAATGGGAAACCCGCGGGGATTACAATCGAGATGGAAAAAAAAATGTGCAAAATGATGTAAAAATAAACTTTGTAATTAAAAAAAAAAAAAGTGAAAAAAAATGCATTAAATACTCTCAAAAAAAAAAAAAAAGTTCTGAGTTTGGGGCCCTCCAACATTCAGCAAAAATCCTGATTTAAAAAGTGAACCAATGACCTTAACAGAAACCTTGCCACAGATGAGACGGTGGCAGAGAAGTGTGTGGAAGATGTACTGCATCACATCGTCAGGGAGACACAAGAATCCCCAAGAGATGCCCCATGAGCCCATCAGGGCAACCAGAGCTTGGGAGGGAACGTGGGGCCTCAGGAGCCTGCGCTAGGGGTTGTAGGTTCCAGGGTGGCTCTGCAGACAGCTGGCACCTCTCTGAACACCCATCCACCCTAGAGGCAGCTGTCATGTTCTTCTAAGGGGGTTGAAAACTCAGGTCCACACAAAACCTGGCATAAGGACGCTCATGGTAGCAAACCATAAACTGCCAAACCCTGGAAACAACTGGCAGGTGGTGGTGGGGGGGTGACAGCACATCTGGAGCATGGATTACAAGTCAGCACCGTCACACCGTGAAGACTTGGAGGGGCCTCAACTGTCTGTCACTAGGGTGAGAAGCCAGACTGTGGAGCCCCACCTGTTTTTCTCCAACTGTATGACATTCCACAAAGGTGACCCTACGAAGCCGACAGCAGAGGTTGGGTGCAGGCGAGGGAGGGGACAGGCAGGCACACAGAGCACAGGCCACTCTGAAGCTTCCCGTGGGGTCACAGGCTATCAGACCCAGCACCAGGGCAAGCTCCAATGCCAACTATGGATTCTGGGGGGTGATATGTGCCCAGGAGACGCTCTCGGTGACAGAGACCCCTCTGGGAGGTGGTGACAATGGTAAGTTGTGTGTGTGTATATGGGGGCAGGAAATCTCTGGTGATCCCTGTGCCGTCTCTCAGTTTGCTGTGACTCTAAACTGCTCTGAAAATGGAGTCTTCTTATCACATCACCCATGACGCTGGCCAACTGCCTTCTCCATCCATTATCTGAGGGCCCTTCGCAAATACACAGGGGAACTCAGCAGGGCTAAATTTTCTGCCATTGATATGGAGGAACATGAAAACTGCTGATAGTGGCTAAAGCAGAGCAGGAGAGGAAGCTTCCAGCTGGCCCAACAGTCAGATCAGAGCAGGACAGCCCCACAGGGCCCTGCATACTACCAGAACAGAGAAGCCCGGTTCTTGGCATGGCCCAGAATCCACATGATGCCTTAAACGTGTGTGGATTTGGATTTGCTTCTTCTCACACAGCTGGTTTCTGAGTTTAAATCTGTTTTGTTGTTTATGCATACAAGAACTGGGGTTTAGGCCAGAGATGCAGGGGATGAGAGTATTCAACAGACAGAATGGGGAGAAGAGCAGGAAGAGATCCACTGCTGAGGGAAGAAGTGAGGAGGCGGGAAAGGTCCTTTGTGCCATATGGGTTCAATCCCTGGCTGGGGATCAAACTCGTGCTGTAGTGGCTGCAGATAGCTTCATAGTGCTAAGACGTAAACCCTTGTGCCACAAAGGAGGACCCTGGTTTCTGAGTTTAAGATTTCAGGCACACACATCTTATCACTCAATGCTAAATGATCCATGCAGGTTTTCATTAGATATTGTTTCAAAGGGCTAAAATTAAGAACACTGCCGCCACTGCCACCACCGTGGCCTGTTCCCTGGAGGCAGAGCTGGCATGGGTGAAGCCCCCTCCCTGACTCGGTGCCTCCAGGAAAGAACTCAACCTTGGTGTCGGCTGGCTTCCTGGAGGGCAGACACTTAACTGTAAACCCTTTGGTGCCAGGGTCAAAGACCCTGAATGTGATGCCAGAACAGATTCCCCAGACACACAGCAGAAACGCGTGGGAAAAAAAGAGCAGTCCTGTAACAAGCCATAGCAAGTGTGATGGAGGGGGAGCAAGTGTGAGGGGTGTCCTACAGCAACTTGCCTGGCCACGACATCCTGCAGGGCTTCCTGACGCTCCGCCAGTGTCAGAACCAGGCCCCTCTGTGTGTCCACGGGCAGCATGCCACAGCCCCTACCCTGGCTGCTGCACCCGGGCTTGAGCCAGGACATCTGCCCCCCACCAGCGAGGGAGCAGACACCCAGCAGGTCCCGGCCATAGATGGGGGACCGGGCGCAGCGTCGCGCATTGACGCGGTGAATTTGATCCAGTCGCTCCTTCAGAAGCCTGGCCTTTTCCTCCTTCATCAGAAATAGCAGTGAGAATGTTACTGGGGTAACACAGAGCAGTTTCCCCTCCCCATGCCATGGGCCCTTGAAATTGGGACAGGGTGAAGCAGAATAGGGGGACTGCGCCCATCTCCCAAACTTGATGGGAGGGCATAGTCAGGACACTTCGAGCCACTGCTGCCTAGGCAGAGGCCAGACAGTGCCCTGGGAGCCAGCTTCCTTTCTTCCTAGAGAAAGTATATCTTTTAAAACCACACAAAGGCAGGTGTGTATGTGACAGGATCTGACCCCCAGGAGGAGGGGCTGTGGCCCTGCCCAGCCCCACTGAGCCCCGCACCTGGGTAGGCACGCTGAGAGGAGAGGTGGGCTTGGGGGCCACTCCAGGCTCACCAGCAGCCATGGGGTTCACTGCCACCCGACCGGGCACACCACCTACAGAGGCAGAAACAAGCTGAGGACGAGAAGGGCCACCCTGCCCCACCAGCACATTCCTGGAACCTGTGGATCTGAGCTCTGTGCCCAGAGTGACCAGCAAGGGGTTCTGCCCACTTCTGGGGCAGGGTCCCAGCTGGGCCTGGGTTGCTTCTGCTGTCTCCGGGTCCACCCCAGTGTGCTCAGAAGGCCACGCCATTCCCAGACAGGCCCTCTCCACACCAGGTCAGTAAAGGCATACAGGGGGCAACAAGACTCTTGGCACCTCTGAGCAGCCCTACCCACCCAATGTGAGGATGCAGCACTGCCCTACGGACCAAGATGAGGTGTCCCAGACCCCCTATCCCCAGGAGCTAGGGCTATGCTGCTTGTTCTGGCAGCTCTGGTCACAGGGAGCCGGACACTGAAGGTCCACAGGCAGGAGGCGAGAGGAGACTTTGGCTGGGAGTCCAGTGGACAGGCAGGGCTCAGGCCCCCAAGCCCAGAAAGAGGCGAGTGAGCAGGATGTGCACCTCTAGGAGACATGGCCATTGGTTCTGGGAGCTAAGTGAGCACCAGGAACACAGGCTGACTGGGAATGCAGCCTCCGGGGGCAGAGCTGTGGCTGGGCGCTCTCAGATGAGACAGGTACAGGACTCACTGCTAATCACTCTCACTGCCAACCGCATGGAGCAGGGCTGAGGGGGCTGGTGACCAGGGCCTACACCGTTCTCTTCGCTTTGGGTCCCACTGTTTCTGCACGTCAACCTGACCCACCACCTCGTGCAAAGAGGCCCATTGAAAGAGCTGGGAGAAGGGGAGCAGGAGCCCACAGGCAGGCCCAGGCAAGCGGCTGCTTCACCACCTACCCAGGGAGCCTAATAAGCATGTTCACACAGGGCCTTGTGACACTGATAAGCAAAATGGCATGACTTGTAGGAACAGGTTCAGGTTGGTGAAGGTGGACCATATTCAGCCCACACCTTTGGGAGCTAACGGGAAAAGTAAACCAACCAGGCACATGCCCAGGAGGGCTGCGAGGTCAGTGAGGTCACAGCCCTACAGTCAGAAACACTCTCAAGGGCCACAGTAGCTAGGACACAAGGACACTTCCAGCCCTACCTGCTGCTCAAAGCACCTACCTTGTGGGGGCAAGGGGGCAGGGCCAGGGCCACTGGCCGGGGGTTTGCTCCCCAGGGCATGGAGGGCTCCTGCCTGAGACACTGTCTGCATCAGCACAGGGCCTGGAGGACGCAGGTAGGACTGCCCAGGTGCAGACACGATCTGGAGGACGCTGCCTGCAATCACAGAGGCAGAGGGCCAATGCAGCTGCATGCCCTCCCACGATCCACACACCCCTCCCGAGTGCAGTCAAAATGGTCACTGAACTGAAAAGCCACAGCCCACTGTATTTAGACAAGCCAAAGCTGGTCACTTGGGAGAAAAATATAAGCATTCCATTTGTAACAGATTGAAAAGTCTGAAACCGAAGAAACAAAAGCCTGTTTGGCTTCATGCTGGCCTTTCCTTACAACCCATGCTTTCAGCAGCAGGAGCCCTATTGAAAGCCTGTGAGCTGCAGCCACATGCTCTACCACGGCGTCCATTCTGTGCCCACATGGTGTGGAGAAAGGCTCTGACCTGGCCCAGGTCAAGCATCTGCGACTGCACTGCCCTTTAAGGTGCTTGCTTTTCCAGCCCAATGCCCAGCAGAGGTGCTGCTCACAGGCTTAGCCCAACAGCAGAGGGACATGGGTCAAACCAGGTCAGGTATGCCAGGGCCTCCCTCTGTTAGACCAAGGGGGCCCCTTCACCAACCTGCTGCCGCCCTGACCACCTCTAGCCCTGTGAGAGCCCTGTGAGACCTCCTGCTGAGGATGCTGTGGATGTTACCTTTAGCCTCACCTCGATGTGGACACTGATGATGCATATAGCTAAGAGGGGTGAGGACAAGTAAACTGAGCTGTCACTTAGGGTTAGCCCTAAGATGCCCCTCATGGTCTTCAAAGGCACATAGGAGGCGAACCACAGCCGTGACCCAACCTGTGCATGGACTGCTCCTACACACATGGCCAGAGCCGCGACACTGCTGGGGCCTCTTACACTGACAGAGGAATGACCCTAAAATGGCAGCATCTACAGAGCAGGCATCAAGGCCTGGACCAGATGGAGCTGTCCAGCACTCACTGTCTGCTCAAGTTTGAGTAATCCTTGCTCACAAAGAGGGCCAACAGGTGGCGCACCCTTGGCCTGTCTTACCTTGAAGCTGTAGGGGCTGTCCGGCTGTAAGCTGCCGCAGCTGGCTGTGAGACAGGGTGAACTTGTTCCCTTGGAATTGCAAAGTCACAGGGGTCTCTGGCTGAGCCACACGACTTGGCGGTCCCGAGAGGGAAGCCAGCTGGGCAATTTTGACGACCTCCCCACCTGCAGAAATGTAGAGGGAGAGAGATTGTTAACTATCCTGGAAGAGGTCTGCAGCTATGATGTGACAGCATTTGCTGTCTTTAGGGACTAAGTGGGTGAACCGCCGTCACAGAAACAGTATTGCTCTACCGCTTCCAGAAAACAGACATTGTGAAATGAAAGAGGAAACAATGAAACAAACATCAGGTCTTAATGGCTGACTCACTCAATCCTAGCTGGGAGAACTTAGGTGTAAGGTGTTAATGTAATTGCCCAAACCGCACTGAGGAGCATGTCGCCTGCCTCTCCAAGGTTCTAGCAGATGGTACTACTCATGATACTCTCTGAAACGCTAACATCAGCCTCTTAGAAAACTCCCCTAATGGGAAAAAGTGCAAGTCCAGTTTAGCCCTCAGTGGGAACTAAGAGCTTCACCATTAAGGGACAAGGACAGCACGCTTCCTCCTGCCTGTGATTGTCTCAGAGTCTGAGGACACATTTCAGCACACGCACACATCACACAAGGTGACATTAAGAGTCCCATAGTGACTTGAATTGCACTGTGGGATACTCCATCCCGGTCACCTGCTGTGATGGCATGTAAAGCTGATGGTGATGGGGGTCAGACACACCGGCTCTGCAAGCCCCCAAGGCAGGTACTGGGCTGGCCTTTCTGGCGGGCTGGTAGTTGAGTCTGGAGGCGCCGAGAGTGCATGCCATCATTAGTGGCTTACTAGAGAGAACAGTTAGCAGAGGTGAAGAGACATCCAGACACCTTGTCCACAGAATGGCCACGACCAGGAAGGGCACCAGAAAGAGGAAGGCATCTGTGGAGAGGCAGGCGGAGCAGGGCCCATGCAGGACCAGGCCTTGTCCTGTGCTGGAGTGGCGATAGGGCGCTGACCAGGGAGCCCTGACGGCAGACAATCAGCATGCACAGTGTCTAGGGGCCAGGAGGAAGGTGCAAGGAGGCCTGCAAGGGCTGACCCCACAGCACCAAGGGAATGCTGGCAGAGCATGGTGAGTGGAGACACAGGGTGTACTAGTGGCACGGGTTTTGGGGAAAGTGGAGCTGCAGAAAAGGAGCTGGGATGTGGGCTCTTGCTGCAATGCCATCACAAGAAACCTGGGCTGAGGAGATTTAGTTTCAGGTTAAATCTGGGGGTGACGGAGACTAAGCACCAGCCATGGTGTTTGCAGCCCAAAGCTGGCTTTCCACGCTGGGCGGCCACCTTCCTCACCACTGCATTCCTCCTCCCGTCCCAGCTGCGCCTGTGGCCAGTGGACAGACCTGGGCCAGCAGAGTGTGAGCGCAAGAGTGTGCAGGCAGAGCAAGGGGGGAAACACAGGAGAGAAAGGACAGGAGGGCCTGGATGCGGGGCTCAGAGAGGCCCCTCCCCTGAAGGCCTGTAGCACTCAGCACAGGGAGCAGGAGACGGCAGGGCAGACAGCAGAGGCGCTGCCCTGAGTCTTGTGGTAAAGAGGCGGCAGAACCGCACAGAGGCCACTTACTGGGCAGGCGCGCCTGGGCCTGCGAGGTGAGCACCAGCCCCTGTGGCAGTGTGCTCTGCCCGGCCGGGAGCGAGGGGGCCTGGGGCTGGGGCTGGGGCGGGCCTGGGGCCGGCGCCTGGGCAGTGGTCTGTGCCCGCAGTTTCGCAGGACGGGCTGGGCTAGGCGCTGGGCTGAAGGTCGAGGCAGGTGGGTGTCGCGGAGCGCCGGTGCACGCCTGAGAGCTCTGAAACGGGGCCACTGCAATTGATAAGGGTTGTTTGTGCAAAGCCGTTAGAGGGTCCTCGTAAAGTGCAGTGTTTAAAACTGAATTTTAAAGAAATCAAACATGACTTCAGTCTCTCAAGTGAGCCCAGGGACGATCGTCTTCTATCACCAGGTGCTCATTTCCACGTCGGACGCGACCAGCACATTTCAGGTCAGTGGGAGCCAGGTCAGCCCGTGAGCAACCATCAAAAGCTCTTCCTAAGCATGGCACACAGAGCCTGCCTCCCCACGGGAAACTTAGGCCGAGTGCAGAAAACCATGGGGCCAGGCCCTACCACTCAGATAGAATGCAGCCTGCCATGTGGCTCTCACATACTGTTGGGCGAGGGCACGGCAGGCACAAAGTGTAGCCAGGCAGGGCTACATGAGCAGCTGATATGTGTGTCCCTCCATGAACTGCTGCTGCATGGCATGGCTGCGTCACAGTCACACCAACCATGACCCAGCAGAGTGATTATGTATGGGGACAGAACCCTCTTTAAACAAGAGCCTAACATTCATACAGTGAAGGGCAGGCGGTCCTGTCCCACTCAGGAAGTTACATGCTCACATCCTCAAGGTCAACCCCTCGGGAAACCTACCTTTGGCATCTGGGTTTGCAGAGAAGGTGGCAATGGGGGGCCGTCCTCGCACGTGGCCCTGGGGCGTGGCAGTGGCACTGGTAGCCGTGCGGGGCGGGTGTGCACTGGGGAAGGCCACCGTGCGGCCCTCAGGCTTCTGTCCATATTGCACAGGCTGGAATAACCTAGACACCAGTGGTGCAGGGGGAGGGTACTTGTCACCAGGGCATGGCATGTGGGCACCTGGGGATGCCAGCCAGTGGAGGGCTGCAGGGGTACAGTGGCACAGTGGCAGTGCATGGCTCACACACAGAGCACTGAGTGAATGGAGCACAACTGCCCTTCCCTGTATTTAACCAGGAGCTGCAGGACCCTGCAAGCAGGGGCTGGGACTGTGAGCAAATCAGCCACCCAGGAGCCACTGATGGCACGGTGGCAAGGCAGTCAGACCTAAATTCCCAGAGAGCCATGGGCAGAAGAGGTGGCAACAGATGACCCCACTCTCGAGGAAACACATAACTTCCTCATTTTCTCCTCATTTTTGACTGAGGCGGGCATCATGTATTTTTAGTATGCTGGACTTACCTCAGGTCATCTGAGTTTCAACCACATCCCCAACACATTCTGTGCCCCAGCTCAGGCACCAACACCCCCAGTGACACCAAGGCTTTTGTGGGTCCCCACTGCAGTTGAAGGCCTGCATGCCTGCCCTAAGGGCTCAGCCAGGCCAGGGGGGGAAACAGGCAAACCCCCCATCACCCACACACCTGCTGGGCTTCAGCCTGACGGTGGCCGGCCTGCCCGGTGGGGGGGGTGCAGTCAGCAGCTCCTCAAGGAGTTTCCGCGTGGCCTGCCTCCTACACAGCAGCTCGGCTTCATGGCGAGTCATCCTGTTCTCCAAGCCAATGAGGTCAAACATGGAAAGGTCGGTGTCCTGAGTGAAAGAAAATGGCAATACGAGTAACAGGATGACCCCCAATTAAGGCCTTGCCACTCCTACACACCCACGTGGCTGTGGTGTGCCTCAGTTTCTCATCTGAAGTGAGGAGGCTGCTCTTGGTCATCACTGAGTAGGAGGGAGGGATGGGGGCTGGCTGGCAGAACAGAGGGGGGCACCCAGTTACCCCAGGGTGTGAAGACTAGCACAAGCTGACCAGCATCAGCCTTCCAAGACAGGGTGCTGCTACTTGAGTCTACAACGTCCCCAGCAGAGAGGGCCCTGTGCCCCTCTCACCTGCCAGGAGTCTCTGTCCAGGGCCTTGAGCACCAGAGAGGCGGCGCGGTAATGCAGTGGGCCTGCCGTGTAGGAGGACTCTGGGAGTCGGGGAGCCACCAGCCCTGGGTGGTTGCAGATGCGCTGCAGCCGCAGTAAGATGCTCAGCACGTCCACAAAGTGCCCGCTCTTCAGAGCTTCCTGGGTGCTGCCAAGGGGAGAGCACATGGCCAAGGGCATCATGTGTACCCCCACCCCCCCGACTCCTGGAAATCCAGCCCTTGGGGTCCCGGCATGGTCAGAGTACTATGTCCAACATTCTATTCCAAACTGCCCGAGGCTGTCCCTTGCTCTGCCCAGCCACTGCCCCAGGAAGCAGGTGTGGGCACGTGGCCAACCAGGACCCACAGCAACTGGCACTGGGCAGAGGCTGTGACTACAATTTCCAGGGTGGCCAAGGCCCATCAGCACACACATCTCGCTCACAAGAAGCTCACCTACCCCAGGCAGGCCCCTGCAAAGGGGCAGAGAGAGAGCTGACCACATGACAACAGACTGTATGAAAGTTCAGGTGAGACCTCAGGGTGCATGGAGCGCCATGAAGAGAGGTGAGGGGCACACTGTCACTGGACAGGTAAGAGAAGGTCACAAAGGAAGTGCGGATGGCTGTGCTGAGGGGACAGCTGGCCACTGGAGTGGTGCCCAAGGAAGGAATGCTTGGGCAGCCAGCACCACAGGCCTCTGGACACACCCTCAAGGCACACACCGAGGGCCAGCAGCCAGGAGTGAGAAGGCACTGCCGAGGGCAACCAGAGAGCCCACAGCAGGAGGGCACACAGAACTTCAAGAGGTCAGGTGGCCTCTGCACAGCAGGTGCTGTCAGCAGACAACGAGAACCACCGGAGGGCAGTGTAGTGGCTCTGGTCCATGTTCTCCAAATGCTACCCTGAGAGCAAGCCTGATCTGAAGCAAGCCCATCTGAGAGGCACACACTGCTGACACCACAGCCCACCAATAGCACCATACTGCAGCTGGTTGTGTAACCTCCATGGCCCACCGTAGGGAGGGCACACATGAGCCAGAGGCAGGGCATGGGCAGCTCTACTGGGGAGGTGGGGTCTGTGTGAGACTCAGGAATGATGTTTTCTGTGCCTACCAGGAGACCCATGGTCTGAGGGTTGTGCATAAATGCACTAAACACCTTCAAACCTTTACTCTCATGTGTTAAGCTCAGGAAAACGGGGCACACAGTGGAAAATCCAAATGAGTCACCTGATAGTACCAGAGGGAGGCTCCAGAGGCCACCTTCAAGGACGCAGGCAGCAGTGCCCTGGACACATGGCAGCCATAGCCTGGCACCAATGCTTGCACGTCAGTGCCCTGGGCCCAGACATGAGCAGGTGGCTCCTAAAGGGCCAGGGTGGTCACACAGGGTAGAGCCAGGGGGCTGGAGCAGCACCCAGGGTCCCCAGCCCTGGCACCTTGCACTCACCTGGGCTGCAGAATCACGTCCTCATACAAGGCTCTCTGTCTAGCAGACAGACGGCACTTCAAGACATGTTCATATTTCTTGGTCAGCTGCTTTTCCACATCCCTTTTAGTTCTCCTCAAGATGAATGGCTGCGTTACCTGAGAAACAAAGCTGCCGTCGTTCTCCATCCCACAGAGACACTGGGTCCCCACCCAGGCCACTGTGGGCGCCCACGGACCCGGTGCAGCCGAATGACCACTTTGTGGTAGTAGTCCTGGTTCTCCTCACTGGGGGCCTTCAGCGGGAAGTGCAGGTAGGGCCTGGAGATGCCTGGGATGAGGAAGTGCGCCATGGTCCACAGCTCTGCGAGGGTGTTATGCGGGGGTGCATCCATCAGCAGCAAGCGCTGCTGGCTGTGAATAGAGGGGGCCTCGGTGACCAGGTAACTTGAGATGGACCTGGGCAGGAGAGCCTTGAGACCCTGTAGCCCAGCACACAGTCACGGGCCAGGGTCACGACTAAGAGGCAGTTCTGTAGCCCCAAACCACCTCAGTTTCCTCAAAAGGACTTTTAGATCAATAACATCCCCAGACTGCTCGAGGGGGTATGTGATGTAGGGCTGACCTGTGCAGGGCAAACACAGCCTCCCAGTGCCGCTCGCTCATGGCCCTCATGCGCTGTGTCTCATCCATGACCAGGCACCGCCAGCGTGCCCGTGCAAATGCTGCGTGGCCCCGGAAGAACTGCTTGTAGGATGTGAGGCAAACGTTGCAGCTGCTGGGCTCGGCCCACCCCTGTAGCACAGAAACCAGGCTGAGGCACACTCAGGGAACTACCAGGCTGTGCCTCAGTGTGTGGGGGTTCTGCTAAGCCCCACCTTGGGGCCACGACTGCTGCACAGAAACAGCTGTTTACACCTCATCCTCTTGGCCTATAGGGGTCTGAAGACAAGCAAAAGGATACTTTGGAGATGTAAACCTGTCTTCCGGAAAGCAGACGAACAGGTGCACTGGGGTGGGGTGGGTTCACAGTGTGGACCCTAAGCAGAGAGAATGCACCCTGGTTGGGGGGTGGAGGCTCTACCCCACCATCAACCACACTCCAGGTCTTTAAAAAACAAATCCATGATCAAGGGACAGTGAGAAGCAAACAGGCCTTGCAGCCCCCACTGTCCTGCAAGCATCAGAGAGAACCAGAGCCTGGTGTGTTGGTATCGGGTGGACTTGAAGCAAGGGAGCAACTCCCCTAGAAAGTTGTCCAGGTTGCATCTCAAGCTGTTCATAGCTGCTCATGGACAAGATGGGCATTTCCACAGATTCCTCCAGCTCTGAGGTCCCCTCGTCTGGGAAGTGGCAGCTCCGTGCAGGGAGTGGGGCTGTTGGTAACTGCACCTCTTGGCAGAGAGGACAGCCCAACCGGTCCACCACAGGCAGGCCAAGGAGATGCTCAGGCCAGTGTCTTGGTCTCATACACGCACTGTGACACTTTGCAACCGGCTGCAGAAAGCCAGAGGCCGTTTCCCTGGTCTCGTGTTGACAACAAAGGTACCTGTCTCTTTGCTTTAAGCTCCCGGCGACTGCCAACGTACAGGAGGGTCTTGAGCCCAGGACACCAGCGCTTCAGCTCGAGCTCCCACCTGAATATGCTGCAGCTCCTCACCACCACCAGGTGAGGACCCCAGTTGCCTACACAGGAAAGAAGATGGTTTCCCTCCATCTGCTAGGGCAGGCACCAGTGCCTTTTCTGAGCAGAAGTACTTGGCAGGAATATCTGTGGTCCTGCTGCATGGCCTAAGCAGACTCCATGTTCAACCTGTGCAACCAGCCCACCTGAGACTCAGTGAGGCCTCATAGAGGGCTCCACAAAATTGTGGAAAAAGCCACCCTCTCCACTGAACGTGTTTCTGGGGCCTGCAGCTCACAACTGAGCAGTGACCCTGGGTGGAGGGGCTGGCATAGGGAGAAGGCACCCATGGCCCAGGAAGGACATCCACAGTGCCCCGCGGGTGGGACTGTGCTCCCTGCCAGAACACACCCAAAACACCCTAAAATAAATGGCTGCAATTTCACTCCTCTGAGGATTTATTAAAAATTGCTAGTGACATACACAGTACAGAGTCCAACTGTGCATCACAATCGAAACACAGGCCAAGTTCAAAAGCAAAGAGCAAACAGAGAAATGCCTACAGTCACACAAGAAGCCACCCCCATTCCTGAAGAGTGCAAGAATTGTGAGCAAGGGTGAGGTACCCAGTGCACAGCACAGTCTTCAAAGGCTACACCTCACAAGCAGGGGGAAAAAAAAATCACATGCCTTGATCCCATCCTAACCCCAGTGAAAAGCCCAGCCCAGCCGAAGTGGTGGCCTCAGCACACCTCCTGGGGAGAAGCAGCGGTCTGCACCGTCTGTGCCTACCAAGGGAGTGGATGGGCAGGCGTAGACTGTTTACTTGGAACAGTGGCATGTCTGTGGGCAGTTTCTGTTTTGTGTGAATTCTATCAGAATCCCTAGCTGAAAGTCTTCTGGAACAGGCTGTACACCCTCAGGAGTGGGGCAATCCCACTCCCTAGTTACAGAGAAGGGGGCCTCCAGGTGGGTGGATGAGCAGGATCTCCAAGGGAGCAGACTGGGGGTACAGCACGGGGGCAAGATCTGAAGGACCATGAGGCAGCAGCCCACAGCTCTTCCTCCTTCATACTCTGTGCCCTTGCCCAGCCTTGACACCCTATTCCTTAACTTTCCCCACAGGGGCACACCATCTGAACACCCAGTGCTGTTTCCCACCCACATCCCGTCCGGCTGCGATTTCCTTCAAAACACATCCTGCCAGGTGGGATGGAGGGGTGGGGGTGGGGGTGGGGAGGGAAGTTTGTTCTGGTCACAGCTGCAGCCTCAGCACCTAGAACAGCGCCTGAGGGGGAGACAAGTGTTGGACAAGTACCAAACAACTGTCATTTGATCAATTAATGAAATAAAACCCCCTCTTTTGGGACACGTAGGCTATTTCTGATTTCTTATTACTATGAAATAATGAACACCTTTTATCTCAACAATGTAATGGAGAGTAAGGCAGGTGGTTTTCCCATCTTAACCCGCTCTATAGATTGTCACTGATTTGGAAGTACCACATTTAAAATTATGGCACATTAGATCAACATAAGTAAATTAATGCAGAAAAAAGGGAACCCAAATGTTGCCACTCCCCTAGGTCCTGAGGAGACCGTCCCTCTGCCAGGCCAAGAGCAAGATGGGTGGGACCACCCGGCAGTGAGCCCCGCTGTGAGCGACACGAGCCCAGAACACTGCCTGTGAGACTGCACCCACCCCAGAGGGTATCAAGGGGCTTGGTCAGGGAAGCCTGGTGGGCCGCCCCCAGAAGTGCCAGAGCTGCCACCACTGCAGCACAGCTGGGCTGGGTGGGACCCAAGGTGGATGTGATGTTGTGCACAGAGGCAGTGGGGGGTGGCAAGGAGATGGAGCTTGTCCCACATAGGACGCCCAACAAGCCGGTGGCCACTCATTGCTCACCTGCGTGCGGGCTTCTCTTAAGCCTACTCCTGGCAAAACACAGCTCCCTACCTGCATGTCTGCAGGTGCTGCTCCCTTTCCCTCTCATCTCCCCTTAATAGCCTTCCTGCATGTTGACAGGTAAGACAAAAGACAGGTCTCACCTTCATTACAAGCAAGGTGGGCAAAGAAAGCTATGACCTGCACGGTCTTGCCGAGCCCTGCTTCATCAGCCAGGATGCCATTCAGGTTCTTGCGGTAGAGCTTGGCCAGCCAGTCCAGGCCGATCTTCTGGTAGTCTCTGAGCACTCCATATAGGAGGGGTGGGACACTCAACTTCACCTGTAGGAAGGCCAAGTGTGGTCTCAGCTGAGCTGAAACACACACACCCCCAACCCCACCACCGCAGTAAGCACACTGCCAAGAAGACCAGAGACACTGAGGTAGGGCAACAGGCACCACATATTCTCCCAGCATAGGCGCCCCTACGAGCAGCAGCTCACCGTGCTGCTGATGCGAGCACTGCCCTTGGGGAGGACAGCTTCAGCCACCGCAGTCACTTCTGCCACATCCTTGGTATGTGGCTTCCCAACACTCATCCTCTCTGCAGCTTTAAACTGGTCCATGATGAATAACGAATCAATGAGCACCACGTCCTTCCGGCTCTCACGGTCGCCTTCTGCCTCTGTGAACAATGCACAGCAGTGAGCAGTCAGTTCCACTTGACCCACTTCCTGATCTAACCACCTTCCCCCCTCCCCCCACCCTTCTAGGCCCAGTGTGGCTGACAGGAACCACTGAGGCCCTGTCCTGAGAGCCAGGGCCTCCCCACAAAACTCTTCATGGGCACCTCCCTTACCACCCTGCTCACACACATTGAGTGTATAAAATCAGAACAGCTGATTGGAAAGTCAAACAAACTCTTCAAACCTGGTGTGCTACACAGCAGTCACTGATGATAAAAATCTAGGTTCCTAAAATAGCAATTCCCATGAACCTACAGGGACAGGTTTCCACCCCACTCACAACTCAAGTGACAGCCCTGATACCCCTACTGCACTGCAAAGAAGCCCTTTCTCAGCCCCCTCAACCAGACCAGAACAAGCGAGGTCGCTGATGGCACACACCTTCCTCCTCACTCGTCTCCTCACTGTCGGGGGCAGGCTGGGGCCACTGGAAGCTGGGCAGGAAGGCACCTTCATACAGTTTCAGCAGATCGATCAGGGGCAGCTCCGCTGGGGGGGCAGGAGAAAGGGGTGTTACTGCATTGGCAGGACAGCTGCTAGAGGACCACAGCAAAATGACAAAGGACCCCTTCCCACATATATTCCCTTTCCTTGCTTTAAATAATTCCTTGGAAAATTATGTTTCCAAAAGCACTTTTTTTTTTGCTGGTGCTTTTTTTTTTTTTATTATTACAAAAGTTTATTTTTACATCATTTTGTACATTTTTTTTTTCCATCTCAATTGTAATCCCCGCGGGTTTCCCATCACCAAGTCACCCATGTGCCATCACCATAATCCCGTGCATTTCCCTCCCCCCAACCCCGTTTTTGATCCCATTCCCCACTCCACCCCCACAAAATGTCTCTGGTATATGGTTGTTCATTATTTTTGTTATTTTCCACCTGGTCCATTATACTCCTGCTATGAGTGAAACCATCCGGTATTTTTCTTTCTCTTTCTGGCTTATCTCACTAAGCATGATCTTTTCCAGTTCCATCCAAGTTGCTGCAAAAGACATGTGTTTTTCTTTTTTGGTTGCTGAGTAATATTCCATTGTATATATGTACCACATCTTTTTTATCCAGTCATCTACTTTTGGGCATTTGGGCTGCTTCCATGTTTTCCCAATTGTAAATAAAGCAGCAATAAACATGGGGGTACAGGTATCTTTTTCAATCAATATTTTTGTGTCTTTTGGGTAGATACCTAGGAGTGGGATTGCTGGGTGGTAAGGAAGCTCCATGTTTAGCAGTTTGAGGAACCTCCAAACAGTTTTCCATAGTGGTTGTACTAGTTTGCATTCCCACCAGCAGTGCAGGAGAGTTCCTTTTTCACCACATCCTCGCCAACATTTGTTGTTGCTAGTTTTTTGAAGATGTGCCATTCTCACTGGGGTGAGGTGGTATCTCACTGTGGTTTTAATTTGCGTCTCCCTTATTACGAGTGATGCTGAACATTTTTTCATATGCCTGTTGGCCATCTGCATTTCCTCTTTGGAGAAGTGTCTTTTTAGCTCTACTGCCCATTTTTTGATGGGGTTGCCAAAAGCACATTTTTTTACCCCTAAAATCTAACTACCCATTTATTGACAAGGTCTAAATTCTTTTTCCATTAAGATGGGAATCTTTAAATGAAGCCCCATTTAATTTAGAAAACAAGTATTTCTGATATCATGTAATAAAGACACAATAAAACCTATAGGCCAATAAAAATTTCAAAATACTATTTATGCAAAAGTACTTATGGATGTGGATACAAACCAATAAATGACTCAAACAAAAATAACAGAAGTAAATAAAAAGTATGACAAGACTGTTTCGCCTACAGTAGGTAGTCCTCACCCTGACGGACTTCACACAGGGGAGACACACAGAGGGACTTCAACACCAGCAATGGGAAAGGCAGGGAAGCCAGCTTGGAAGGGCCAGAGCTCGAGGCCATGATCTGACCACCAACTCCCCACTCTGCCCACGCCCCCACATAGCAGGGGAACAGCATTCTGCTTTAATTTTTTTGGAAACTGTGAAAAAGCTGAGGAACTTTAACATTCTATATACACTCCATTCTGTCAGTGATTCTTCCCAGGGAAATGGCCAGAAATGTGGCACCAAGGTAGTGCTGTACCCCCAGGTAGATGCTGCACCCAAGAGAGTCACCAAGGCTGCTGACCTTTCTGTGTCACATGCCAGTGACAAGGGTCCAGACTGTCCCCAAAGAACATGACCAGGGCTGCAGTGCTATGAACTAACTTGCTCTCAGCTTGCAAAGCCTCATACCGGTGGCCATGCCCACACTGCCAACTGCACACCAAGTGTGGTGCCTGGGCCCTGTATGCCGGCAGATGCCAGCTAGCTTGCCTGCGGGTCGCTTCCTCCAGGGGACCAACCTTTGGCCACCAGCACGCTCCCACCTCCCATGGAGAAGCCCACATGAGGATGAGGTCAGGGGGTGCTAGGAAGCCAGTCCAGCCTCTCTCTCTCAAGGAGTCTGTCCATCTACAGAAAGCGCAAGACACACGGACTATCTGACCTCACAGGCAGGGCCCACAATGCAACAAACAGGCCAGACAAGAACAGCACCCACAAGGGTGAGGATAAAGAGCCCAGAGGAGACAGAGCTCACATGGACGCAGGCAGCCATGGGCAGCCACCAACTGCTGTCAGCCAAGCGTCCACCCACCCAACAGTCAGCCTATGGCTCCCGTCGCTGACCTCCAGCCTGGTGCTCTACAGCCAGGAAGGAAGGAGCCAAGGTGAAAGAGAGCCCGAGCCCCCACAACACAGAGGCACTGGCCAGGGCTGATGTGCTGTGGCAGGAGAGCAGGAGGAAGCAGCCACATCGCTGACACCAGCAATAGACCGAAAGGCAAAGAGAGAACCTGCCACTGATCTCCACTTCAAGCAGCACAGGGCACTGAGAAGACAAGCCACAAAGAAAACAACCTGTCTCAAGCTGCCTCAACACAGGGAGACCTGCGCTTGTGGACGGCACTGCTGGGCACTGGCTAGGGAAGCTCAAGTGTGGGAGATCAGGCTTGTGCCCTGTGCCTACCCCCCCATTCAGCCATGCTGGAGTTAGGAAGCCCCTGGCCTTCCTGTGCATGTGGTGGACACGTGGTGTGTGTCTGGCTATACCTGACCATCAGGGAGGGTGCCCAGCCCGACATGTTTTCAACCACCAGACTGGTGGGCCCTACTGGCCAGGCCCACTGCTCCCACCAGGCTGGGAGCCTGGTAGAGTGGCAGGTGGCCACAGGGCCCACCCATGGCAGGGCAGGAGGCAAGCTCACTGTGACCTGAGCACTGGGAGCCCCCTTGATGCAGCAACACACCAGCTCCACGCTGCCCAGTGCAGCTCCATGGCGCAGCCCTCCCTGTGCAGGAAGCTTGGCAGCAGGGTCCTGCAAGCAGCACCAGTGCTGAAGACGCAGCCCACCCCATAGATGTGAAGCTTGACTCATGTGAGCCCCACACAGCAGGAGGCAGGGGCGGGTGGCCAGGCCAGCTGTAGCATGCTGCGCTTCCCTCATACATCCCTCTGCAGCCATCAACTCCCAGTGAAAGAAACAGCCCACCTTCTTTGGCCAAATTGGACAGTTCTGTCTGGTGATCCACAGCCCCTTCGTGGGCTTCTTCCTCCTCAATGGTCTCTTCCTCATCTTCAACTGCAATGACCAACAAAAGTCTCTGAGACACCTGACTGACTTCAGGGCTACAAGCAGCCACAAGGCTTCAGGATGCTTTCTGCAGGGCTGCTGAAGAAGTTCATTCAACTAAGACTTTCACTTTCTCAGGCGAGGGTGGAAAGGAGCATAGAAGTAGAGCTGAGGAACCTCTTCTCTCCATCTCAGGGCAACACAATGGACCTGCTGAGGCTCACACGGGAGAGTGTGCACTGCTGCCCATCAAGCCGAGCAGGGACTCAGGGCTCAAATCAGCTCACCTTGCCCAGTCCAGAGGCCCAGCCCTGTCCCCCTCGCCCGCCCCCGCCCCGTCCTGTCAGCATCTCTGCCCCTTGCCCCATGCCCTGCCCTCCCCTGGTTCTCACCAGGCACAGGTACCCACTCTCCACCACCTCAGGTCTCTCAGCACTTCTTCCACCAGCACTGCCCACCTCTCCACGCTTACACACAGGTGTACATGACTCCCTCTCACACTCCTCACTTCACTGCACAATCCTAGTGCCCACTGAGGGTCTGACCCCCAAGTACACTGACACTGGGCTACTAGCCACAGCCAGCTGCGCAGGCCCTGGACACCCTGGCAGCACTGAGAGACTGGGGATAGGAGGTCCAGAGTGCACAGGGCAGGGACAGACCTTCATCATCAGTCAGAGATGTGCTGGCTTTTCTTTTTCTTCCAGACATTCCTGAATCCTGAAACAAAGGATCAAAATCACAGCTGTGAGACCTTAAATGCAGGACAGGGACCAGAGCAGAGCTGAGGGATGCATCATCTCTAACATGAGCCCAGTGAGAAAGGAGGGGCCCACCTGCGCCAATCAGACAGGCCAGTGAGCGGGGCAGCCTCCCACGAGCCTGGAGTCACTCTTCTCCCAGATTGTACTGACCCCACAGTAAGAGCAAATAAATGGTATTTGCTATCCACACATCTGTGCACAAGAAGAGTCCCTGCCTGTTCCCAGGACATGAGTGTTGTTCATGCTGCTTCACTGCTCATCCCCAACTCACCAAAAAGTTCTCAGGCAGCACATTAAGTCCCTTGGGTCTCGAGTCTTTACCTAAAGAGAAGGTCACAGGGTCCGTCTTCACTGGAGTCCAGGACAGGTGACTCAAGGGCACCCTGGCCTGCAGAGGCAGCTTCTGCTGATGCCCAGACAGCCCTGATAGGCCAGATCTTCCACAGGCAGCCAGGAGTGCCCTTCTTGGCCTGACAAAGGAGGCCCAGCCATGTGGCAAAGGGCTCTTTCCAAGGGCATGTCTGGGGTCGTGAGCTCTGGCAGTGCCCACTCCACCTTCACTCCCTCCCTACCCTGGCCCCAGGAAGGTCCCTCTGTGGAGCTGCCAAAGCCCATGCCAGGTGACATGGGGCCGCAGTGGCAACCGCCGCCCCACCTACGAATAGGCACAGCACAGGCTCAGTCTTCCTCCCAAGAGCAGCCCAAGCTGGTTGATCAGGCTGTGGTCAGAGACTTATCTGGGCAAATCGCAAAAAAACCCAGAACACTCAGCTGGAACAGCTGTCCAAAGAGCGCACACCTGTAATATTCCCAAGGAGCTGGTGCGACTGGTGGGGCCCATGGGAGCGGGTGCCAGGGAATGAGCCTGCGGAAAAGCAGCATACCTCTCCTGGAACCTTTCTGCGAACTTAAGGCCTTCTTCCTTTTTTCTTCTAATTCTACCTGTAGTTTTATTTCCACCACCTAAGCACAAAGAGTTAAACAAGATGCTGGTGAGGACACAGCTGTAGAATCCACATGTCAGAGGCGCCCAATACCCTCAGCACCCCATGGGCACAGAATGCCCGCCAGCCCCCAGCAGACACCTTCTCCTTCCACTGTGTCTACCCACTCTGGCAGGCAGTGAGATGAAAATTATTTTAAAAGGAAGCAAGAGGCAAAGAAGCCATTAGGAAGTAAGGTGCCGGTCCTAAGCAAGGATCCTGACCCTCCATGCCACCCCCCAGACAGGCTTGGGCATTGCTGGCCATAGCGGCCCCAGCAACTCCTCGCCTAGCTCACAAGCGGGGTTCAGAACTCCATGAAAACATGAGTTACCTGTTCAATATTTGACCAAAAATACTCTATTTCTCTAGCAGTTGAGGCAGCAATCCGTCTCAGCCGGTTCTGTTCCTCCTTCTTTCCTCTCTCCTCACGAAGCTGCTTCTCCTCGTGATGGCGTGCTACGGTCCTGACCAGCTAGAGGACAGACAATGGAGAGAGCTCAGGCATTTGCACCATTAGCAACCATGCCCTGAGGCGAGTGGGGACCAGCACCAGCAAAAACGGCCATGTAGACTGGCTTCCTGGCAAAAGCGATCTCACTGACTGGTGGGAGAGCACAAGGTGCTCAGTCTTCTTTCTAGGGCACTGCTTGACCAGCTCTAGCTAGGGCAGAGTGGGGTGTAAAGTCCTGCTGGAGTTTGGGGTTGCCCCTAAGCTGAGCGGCCTCTGACCTTTTCCCCACCTCTGGATGCCAATCTGGTCTGGAGTGCTGTGGGGATGCTCTCCAGCCACCGGGAGGCTGGTCCAATGCCCCAGGGAAGCTATACTCATCCACAACAGTGTGCGGCCCACCGCAGCCGCAAGGGGAGTCACACCACAGTGTGAAGGCCACATCTGTCCATGAACCTTCAACAGGTTACACCCCTGGCCCCAAATCAACACCAGGACAGTGGGGCTTGTGCCTTGACCCACCTTCTTGGCCGCTGCCACCTTCCAGCGCCGCTCCTGGGCGAAGTCGGCAGCCATCCACTGCATCTCCTCTAGCAGGTAGTCCCAGTGAGACTTGGGCCGAGGGGCCTCCTGCAGTTTGGGCAACCGCCGCAGCGACCACAAGCCTTCTTTCCTCAGATCTGCAATCCGCTGGTGGGTCTGGTTCTCCTGCAGGGATGTCCCACATATAACTGCCATGTATATGCCACTCACACTGACCCCATGTGCACTGGCCACCATAGGTAGTCTCAAGTGACATTCAACACAAAGGTGAAGCAAGCACTCCCAGAGGCCTGGGATTGGGAGTGGGGAGGAGATGGGATGATGGGGCCACTCTCCATGAAAGCCCAGAAGCAGCTAGAGTGACAGTCCTGCCCCTCACATGCAGGACCCAGAGTGCACACCAAGAACTTACAGGGAGACAGAGGGGATACAGATCAGTGAGAATGGCCCAGAGCTGATTACTGTCAGACCCAGGGAGGGGTGTGCCAGGCACTCTGGGTATGGGAGGCTGCTTGCCATCCCCAGGGAGGTGGGCACAGCAACTGCCAATCATCTGCCAGGCATGGCCTATGTTTCCCTGGCAGCTGCAGGTGCTATGGGCTCCACAGATACTCATGCTAGCTTGCAGCTGGCAGCATGTACCCGGCCTGCAGCCCTGGGAAGCCACCTAAGGTCACTGACTTCAGCATCAGAAGGGTGTCACCCCAGCCCCCCACCAGGACAGTTCACATGGCCTCCACCTTGGTCTTAGTCACAAGCCATACTCAATGATCTCACTGTCAGTCAAACGCTTCACTACTGGAGTCTACCTTAGGATGCCTGCGAGCACCCAGCCTGGCTCACTGTGCTTACCAGCGCGATCTGCTCTGCCAGTTTGTCCTGAGAGCTGTCTTGGGGTGGGGCAGCACTCTGGGCTGGGCTCTGTGGCTTCGGGGCAGCAGATACTGCTGCTCCTGGGGACCGGGAGGTGACTGGGGACAGCGACTTATTGGTTGCAGAAGAGGGTCTGCTCACTGGGGAGGCCCGAGCTGGCACGGGTCCTGGGCCGGCGCCACCCCCTGGAACCATGGGAGAGGTCGAAGAAGAAGGTAGGGGGCGCTGGCAAGGCTGAGTAGGGTCTGCAGGCGGTCTGGACGCTACCACCTGGAGGAAGAAATGAGACATCATTTGAGTACCCAAGACCCAAACCAGCTGTCAGTGGCAGGTGTGGCTCAGGGTCTGCCCTCCACAAAGCACTCTGGCTGCCATGAGTGGCCCAAGGCAGGTCAGCCTTTTCTTTCCCCTGCTGTTTTCATACTCCATCTTAGCCAAGAGGCCAAGAAGTGATTGGCCCTTTGGGTCTTCAAAGGATTGATCTTGGCCTAAGCCCCTTATGAAAGAGACACAGCGAGTCCACCCTGTGCTTCTCCCTGACAGCAAGGCAGGCTCTACGCTCTGCTCTCACGGGTAGAACCCTGTGAGAACCTCTTCGGTTGGTGGCCAGATAGGAGCCTGTTCTTGACCAAATAGTCACACAGAGTGGAGCCTGTGAGGGCAGACATAAGGGGCAGGCTGGGCCTGTTGGGACCACTGTGTCCAAGGGTTAATCCTGATGACACAGGCTTCATGTTTTGCACTAGAAGTCACTCCTCAGTTCTCATTTTGGAAGGATTTATGTGGGCACAGGGTGCACTGTCCTGGGGGTTGTGGCTACTTAGCTTGTCCATGCCAGGCTTGGGGCAGCATGAGCTTGTAGCCACAGGGTTTCAAGTATTTTGACACCCCCTTTCTGAGGTCTTTTCTGGCCTGCCAACCCCACCCAATGGATTCTGAGTAGGGCTGGTCCTTCAGCAACACAGGCAGGACAATGAACCCAAGAAGCCCTGGCACAGCAGTGAGGATAGCTCTATGGAGACTCAGATCCACAGAACCTGAGCGCAGTAGTCTTGGGGCTTGCTGCTGTGGGGACCTTGCCCTTCCAGAGGGGGCATGGGCAGCTCACAGCACTCCCATAGCTCTGCAGGCCCAGCCACTGTCTATCTGCTCTTTTCTCTGTGCTTGGGTCCCAGGGAGAGTAAAGACCCCTGCCCAGCGCTATCATAAGCAGGGCAGAGACAGCACAGAGAGGGGATCACAGCACGGGTGCCCAGAGGGCGGAGAGCAGAGGTGGCTGTCCTTCCATTTCTATATAACAGAGTCTCAAGTGACCAGAGGGAAACCAAATTCATATGCACCAGGGAAGCTCCGCAGTGAAGGCAAAGAGCAGGGAGGCTTTCTGGGGAAGACCCCACCAGACCCACTGAGAGGAAAGGCCATGTTGCTCTAACAGCCCAGCTCTAAGGGCCCACATGCCTGAGGGACAGCATACAGTTTGTTGTATAAATTTAACCAGTGGCAGAGGAGGGATATCAGCACTACCCCTCAATGTGCTGAGCTCCTAAGTGTTGCCTTTCACCATCTGTAGAGCACTGTCCACATGTGGGGGCCAGGGAAACCCAAGCTCCATACTTTTTTCCCACCATGACAACACCGAGCCCCTAGGCCCTCACAGGGAAGATGCGAAGTGTGTCCACACAAGGTGCAGCAGGGAGGAGTGCATGCTGGACTGCACTGGGGATGGTGCCATGGATCAGAGTCTGAGTCAGGCAGTCACCACATGGACTGCAGGCAACCATGGTGGGTGTACCGTCAGGCCTCATGTGGCCAGCCCTCCCTCACTCCCAGACTTTGGAACTGTGTGTGTACCCCAGTACCTGGGGCTGGGATGGCAGCTGAGGGTTCTGTAGCTGGGCCTTCCCGGGCATCGGGCCATGGGGGGCTGGCTGGGTGGCCTGCACGGGAGCTGGGAGTTGGCTGGGTGGGGGTGTGGGGACAGGGGCATGGGGCGGCTGCGTCTTCACTGGGATTTGGAGCTGTGGTGGGGGCTCTCCCATCTGCGACGGCTGTGAAAACTGCAGTGTGGCTGGCAGGGGGGCAGAAGGGAGGCCGGCAGGGGGCAGCCTGCCGGGAAGCTGGGGTGGAGGGGTGTGCAGGCTGGCAGCATTCTGCACTGGTGGCCCCGTGGATGAGTCGTACTGCTGCTGACTTTGTTTCTGCCCCACCAGCTGAGCTGACTGCGGAGCGGGAGGCATTCCTCCTGCAAAAGAGGGGACACCACCTGTGCTGACCACAGAGCCTGGAATACTGTCTAGCGAGAGAGGCGTGATCCCGAGGGCTGCACTCAGCTGGGGCCATCATCAGACTACCTAGCCCCAGCGATGGTCACCAGTGTGCAAAAGGTCAAAAAAGGTGCTCTCCTGAGCAGGCTGCCCTTGAGTAAGGTGAGTGCTAGACAGAGGGCCCCGCTATGACAGGGTGACATGGTAACTCAGGAGGCACTTGGAAAGCTCAGGAGTAAGAGAGATGCATAGCTAATGCATCTCCTAGAGTCTGGACCCCAGATTAGTTGGGACAAGGAGATACCATGACTTCAGAAAGCCCCCCCACCCAGACACCCACCTGTAATTGCACCCCCAGGGACCCGGCTTCCAGGACTACGACATACACCCTACCCGCGAGCCCCAAGGTGGCTTTGGCCCTCATCTTACCTTGCACTGTTGGCATTAACTGCTGGAGAGGGACTCCTGTGTTCACCCCTGGGTGTTGTAGAACCACCCCTTGGTGACCCACTTCAAGTCGAGGTCTCTTAGACTGCTCTAGAATAATTTTCAGAAAAGGAGTACTTTGATGGAAAAATTAAACCACAAAAGTTGTAGAGAAAATGTGTGAGTTTTTACAGTCTTTGACAGAGAGACTCTTCTCTGTGTGAGGAAAAATCTAGAAACCTTAAAAGGTAAGCCTAATAATTTCTTTTTAAAAATACATTCACATTAAAAATCTGCAAATACACACAATGGAATATTATTCAGCAACCAAAAAAAAGAAACACATGTCTTTTGCAGCAACATGGATGGAGCTGGAAAAGATCATGTTTAGTGAAATAAGCCAGAAAGAAAAGGAAAAAATACTGGATGGTTTGCCTCATAGCAGGAATATAATGGAACGAGAAAATAATGATAATGATGAACAGCTATCTACCAGAGACATTTTGTGGGGGTGGAGTGGGGAATGGGGCCAAAACCAAGGGGGGGAGGGAAATGCAATGGACTACGGTGATGGCACATGGGTGATTTGGTGATGGGAAACCCACGGGGATTGCAAATGAGATGGAAAAATGCACAAAAATATGTAAAAATAAATTATTATAAAATTTAAAAAATTGCAAATACAAGGCATCACAAAGAGGCAAAGCACAAGCCACACCTCACACTGGCAGCCAGAGCGGGCCCAGGAAGACTGGCTCTCAGCAGGCCCTCAGCACAAGGAGCAGTGCAGGCAGGTACACAGACGTGCAGAGACACTATGCAGTCACTCAACACTGAAGCAACTTGCATCAAAGTTTTAATTTTTCACTAAGATGAAAGGCTTGGTTACAAAGGCCAATGGGAGACAACCAGAACTTCTGACTGGTGTGAATATGGGTCCTACCCTTTTGGAAAACAATTCACCATCACAAGTGCTTTGTCCTAGCAACTCGAATCTTCCTTCAGTTACAGATAAGCACATCAAAGTCTGTCATCTTTAGGAAAAACTACACATGAAAGTAGTTCAACACAGGCTAGTCTGTGTTGCTTATTACAGAATAAAGTGGCAGTAACAAATCAACACAGAGATCTGATGAATGAAAAATACATCCAGGGGCATGCATGCCAGCCACCCTGTGCCAGGAAAGGAGCTAACAAGTCACTGTTTCAAAAAGATGAAAAGTGTACATGTCATCAAAATTTAAACTTTTTCAGAATAACACGTAGCAATGCTTGTGTGTGGAGAGAAGACTGTTCTTGTAATCATATTAATAAGAGCCAGCTCTATGGCTAGGGAGAGGGCAGATAACCTCCGAACAGGAGTAGACTTACTTCTCCCCTTCTGAGCTGTTTGAATCTTTTACATAAAATGTGTTGTTTGTAACCTGAAGAAAAAAAATCAGTTTGAAAAATGAACAGTTTGAAAAAACAGACAGTGTTCCATTTAATCCTGTCAGGATAAATAGCCCCACAAAAGCACAAGAAATCAAAAATAGAACACACTCATTCAACAGGACAAACTTCTAATTTAAGATTCAACACTGACTTAAATGTTATCTTCAGCTGATAACCACAAGAAAAGTGAACTTTAGCGGAGAAGAAACCAAGTCCAGGTAAGGGCTGAGTGTACCCGCACGGCTGGCCCTGGGACTGCCAGAGCGGTGACATACCTGAAGGGGGACCCGCCTGCTGCCTCTTAAAGGGATCCGTTTCTACTGCACCTGTAGCCCCTGCCACCAGGGCTCCTGGGAGGGCTTGCTGCTGGAAAGAAAATGAGATTCTGATAACCTAAGTGCGTTATAAGCATAAATAGAAGCCAAACCTACACCAGTGAGCCCAAATACCAACCTCAACCCCTTCCATGAGAGAAGGCAGCACCCTAGCGGCGGCATCACACGTCAGCGTGTGCATTACACGTAATAAATGAAGCTCTAACTTACCTCTGGAGGGAAAAGGAATGGGGAAAGCTATTTTTCTGGTTTTAAAAAAAATTTCTGAGCAACATACACCTAGAGTCCTTCGGACACTATCTGGCTTTGTACATGGATCAGAGCAGGGGCAGTGCCAGGACCTCCAGCCTGCGTTGAGGCAGCAGCACAGCCCCAGGCCCACTGCCGGTCACCACTTACCAGAAAGCAGAGAACGCGGTAAAAAGGAAGGTTAGTCATCCTGCTGGAAAATGACACTAAATCCCAATTAAAAGCACCTCACTTGGTAGAGATGTGGGCCACCCACAGGTGATGCGTAGTCAGAAGCTACTGGCCAGACCAGGGTTGGAGGCTGTGGATCTGCGCCTCTGCACCTGCGCCCCCAGAAGGGGCGCCCAGTGGGGCTCTGCAGTGCTCAGCTTTGGCCACTCAATCCAAGTGGCGTTCTCCAGGCAGAGCCTGGAGAGCCTCTACACAGTGCCTCTCCAGGAGGGCGGCTCAAACACAAACCCCAGGATAGAGCCAAGCCACAAGGGCTCCTCAGAAGGGACTGGGTTTAGCTAACTGAAAGGGAAAATAAGCACCCCCATTTACATTTACCAAAGATGGGGAAGGGAGGAAGGGAAGGTACAGACAGAGAGAGAGAGGGAGGAAGGTGAGAGAATGACTTAAGAAATAGAGCATGTGATATGTTTGGGGACTGGATCCCAAGTGACTGGTGTCTGTATGTGCACACTTCTAGTGTCTAAATGTTCCATAGTGACCTTGTGTCAGTCATAAACACCAAAAAGAGAGTTTCAATAAAATAAATTTATAAA